CCAGGTGGGACGGACCTGCTCTCTCTAATGCCCTGGGGAAGCCCACCACAAACTGGGCGCTCATTGTCTCGCAGCTCTGGAGGCTGTAAGGTTGAAATCCTGGGCGGGCAGGGTTGGCTCCCATTGGAAGCTCTGGGCAGCATCTGTTCTGTGTGTGTCTCCAGCCCCTGGTGATGCTGGCAGCCCCCTGTGAGCCTTGGTTTGCAGGCACATCCCTCCACACCAGTTGTTGGATTGAGGGTCTCAGTGTCTCTGCCCTCCTCTCATCCAGTCCCCGTCACACTGGGTTTAGGGCCCACTCTACTTCCGTATGACCTTGTTTTATCTAACTGCGTCCACAACAACCTTGTTTTCAGATAAGGAGCCAATTCTTTACTTTTCTCGGGGGACACAATTCAAGATTTCACGCCACCTCAGCAGCCAGGGCCAGGGCTCTCGGCCCTTCCTGCCACGCGTGCTCACTCAGTGCTGGCCTTTCTGCTGCTCCCAGTTTTGGCTTTTATGGACACACTGCACAGGCCTCTCGATGTGTCCATATGCTGGTCTCTGTTAGGCATGCGGAGAATGGTGGGGCTTGCGATCATGTCTCTTAGGTTGGAATCCTGTAGACTCTTTTTTGAGACGCAGTTTCGCTCTTGTTACCCAGGCTGGAGTGCAATGGCACGATCTCGGCTCACCGCAACCTCCGCCTCCTGGGTTCAGGCAATTCTCCTGCCTCAGCCTCCTGAGTAGCTGGGATTACAGACATGTGCCACCATGCCCAGCTACTTTTTTGTATTTTTAGTAGAGATGGGGTTTCACCATGTTGACTAGGATGGTCTCGATCTCTTGACCTCGTGATCCACCCGCCTCGGCCTCCCAAAGTGCTGGGATTACAGGCTTGAGCCACCGCACCCGGCCCCCTCCTGTAGACTCTTGAGTGGAGATTGTTGTGCTCCTGACTCACTGGGACTCAGAGGAGAAAACCAGGAGAGAGCGGGAAACGGGCCAACAGAGGAGAGAGGTTGGAGCAGGTGTGGTTGCAGGTGGGGCCCAGCCCATCCTCACAGGGACTCTGGACATGCATCAGACTGCAGGTCGGGATGGGGACTTTGCTCTCAAGATGGTCAGGGTCTGGCCCTGGGCCACCCTGGCACAGGCTTCAATCCCAGGGGCCCTTGGACAAGGGCCCAGCTGCCCAAGGCCAGCCCTGGGGGCTTCAGGTGTGAGCTATTAGGGCAGCACCTCCCGAGGTGGCGGGGGGACGTCGTGGCCACCCGAGAGTAACGGGCTAAGTGATAAAGGGGAGGTTGGGGGGCAGCAGTGAGGCTGGGGGCAGGCCCAGCCCTCGTGGGCAGCGCAGCACTTTTCCTGCCACGGAGCTCTCTCACCCACCTGAAAGGTGCGAGTGTCCTTCCCGTCCACACTCAGCCACACAGGGGCTCAGCTTCTCAAAGCCCAGCTGCTGTGATGGGTGTGTGCCGTGACATTACAGGGTGGCCGACTGCGTTTCCACGACAACTGGCGAGGTTGGGCCACTTTTCATACGTTTGTTGGCCATGTGGGCATTTTCCCTTGCTGGCACTCATCCAAGGTTTCTGTCCCCTCTTCTGATGGGTGTCTGCCTCTTCCTTACGGACCCGCGGAGTTCTTTCTACTCCCGGGGTGTCCGTGCCCCTCCCTCACCCGCTCCCTCAGGCACCCTGAGTAAATTGCTCGGCACGAGCACCCTGCATGCACCTGCACTATGCTTTCTGGTTGCCTGCAGAGCCCGAAAGCTCGCCAGTGGCCAGCAGGCATGGGGCTGGCACCGTGTGGGGTGTGCAGGGGCTGCTTAGTCGTAGGGCGCCATCAGCCTGGAGTGCTCCCGTGCTCCCCCCAAGGACACCATCCACAACTCACACACTGGAGAGGCGACACCCCACATGCGGGCCCTCACTCCTCCCTGCTCGGGGACGGCTATGCCTTTGTTTTGGGGGCTGGGGAAGGGTCTCAGCTGGTCGTTCCCCCAGTGTCCTGATCCCGGGTCCACATGCCACCAGTCCCTGCAGGCCCCACACCTCTGAGAAAGGCTTCGGTGTCATGGGCCTAGGCGGGACCACGACCCGCTCAGCAAAGCCCAACTGTGTCTGTGGCCAGCAGCCATCTGGGCTGGCCCTGCTGCTGAGCTGCTGGGACCACAGGCAGAGGAGACCCACTCGGCCCTGGGGCCCACCTCTCTAATTGCTAGGACTTAGTACAGTCACCCATGATGGTGTCGGAGTCCTTCAAGTCTCAGCCCACATAGTGACTTATGGCTGCTCACAGAGCATCCACCTGGACCCCCAGGCCTGTGTGGCCAGCAGGGGTGCCTCCACCTGCTGCCAGGCACAAAGCCCTCAGTGTGGGGAAGGGGGTGCCTTCGGGCGGTTCAGGGCCAGGCTGCAGGTGGGCTGGCAGGAGTCACACTTGTCCCACAGGTCGCCGCCTGGAGGGGATGACTGCCATCCTCTCACAGGTCAGCTAAGGGTATTGGTGTTTACTCCAAGCACTGGGATAACCCTGGGGTTTCCCTGGGTTATGGCCTGATCTGTTGGCATCTAGAAGAGACCTTTAAGCTACAGAGTGACAAAAGACACTTGGACTGAGGGCCAGGAGCCACTAAGATCTGGGGCAGGGCTTTCAGGAGGCTCTCGGGCTGGGCAGCGGCAGTGGTCAGGCAACGTGGTTGGAGTCCGGACACACGGGGAGCCCACGGGAATGCTGGTGGGCAGGCAAGGGGCAAGGGGAGGGTGGTGCAGGATGGCAGCGAGGTCCAGCCTGGGCAAGTGGGCACAACATAAAGTAGGTGCCACAACCTGCCACAGGGACCCCGCAGGAGTGTGGACCTGGGTGAGGGTCAGCACTGCACCCAACACGGCATGGCAGCCCGGGAGGAGGGACAGGCCACACCCAGCACGCCTGTGTGGGAGCCTGGGAGGGGGGACGGGCCACACCCAGCACGCCCGTGTGGGAGCCCGGGAGGGGGGAAGGGCCACACCCAGCACGCCCGTGTGGGAGCCTGGGAGGGGGGAAGGGCCACACCCAGCACACCCGTGTGGGAGCCTGGGAGGGGGGGACGGGCCACACCCAGCACGCCCGTGTGGGAGCCTGGGAGGGGGATGGGTCACACCCAGCACACCCGTGTGGGAGCCTGGGAGGGGGGACGGGCCACACCCAGCACGCCCGTGTGGGAGCCCGGGAGGGGGGACGGGCCACACCCAGCACACCCGTGTGGGAGCCCGGGAGGGGGGACGGGCCACACCCAGCACACCCGTGTGGGAGCCCGGGAGGGGGACGGGTCATGCCCAGCACACCTGTGTGGGAGCCCGGGGAGGGGGGAGCCCAGCACAGCTGCACAGGAGCGTAGTGGAGGTGTTGCCTCCAGGTTTTGGGGGAGGCTGGAAGGAGAGATGTGCCCAGAGGCATCAGGTGTGGACGCCTTGCTGTGGGTGGGCTGGGCTGGGGTGGAAGCTGCCCTCCGGGTGTGAGCAGGGCACCTGGGCCCATCGGAAATGAGGCGGGGAGGCTGAGGCGGTGTTTCCACCGTGGATGTCTTTATTGTGCCTAGGGACCCATAAGGCGCTGACTAGAGAGGAGAACAGACACGGACCACACCCAGGTTGCTACACGGAATCCCTCCCCAGATGGCGGCGGGGAAGCCACCCTCTGTGCTGACCGCAGCGGCCTCGCGGTTCACAGGCTGACGGCTCCCGCTGAGCGTCACCCTCCAGTCCCTGGAGCCCTTGTCCACTTGCAGGGATGTGACTGGCCCTGCACGGTCCCTGCCCCTGGGCAACATGCAGGCAGCCCTATCTTGACCCATGAATTCAAAATACAATGTGCACTTTCCCGGCGTGACAGAGGGCAGCGTGCGTGGAAAGGTGGGTCTTGGCTAATTTCCTTCGCTCAGTATTGCTGATTGTTCTTGTAAACAAAACCTGCAACATCAGCAAACAGATTCGCAGGCATCGCATTCTTGAATTTGTTTTGATTCACAGGTAAATGTGATTTTAAAAAGCCATTTCCGAACATAAAAACTGTTGTTATTGATGTGACATACACCTGAGAAAAATAAAATTCCAGGGGGGTGCCTGGTGGAAGGTCACGGCTCAAGGCCAGGAAGAGTGTGGCCTGCAGGCTGCCTTCGAGGGAGCCCTGCATGCGTCTTGGTGTAGGATGTGCTCCTGTGAGGGGTCTGCACGCGTCCCGGGGCAGGACACGCTCCTAGGAGGGACCTGCATGCATCCTGGGGTAGGTCACTCCTCTGTGAGGGCTACACCACAAGGTCCCACAGGCAGCCCGAGTGGCAGTAGCCTGAGCTGGTTTCAAGGAGTTTTATTTCTCTCTACTGCAAGAACATAAACAGAATTTCCTGGTGAGACACACCGGGACCCCTATCCTCCAATGCCTCTGAATGACTCTGTGTGCAATGTGTCAACTGAACGCTCCATTTACAGCCTCTGCTGGGAGCCAAGCATGAGGAAAGGACTTTGCAGGAACTCGTGGTTTCTTCCAGTTCACCTTCTGCACAGCTAAACAAAGCAGGACGCACGGCTTTTTAACACAGGCAAAATAAACGGCCTAGGAAGCGACTGCGCTGAGCAGTCCGAGGCATTCCCGCTGGGTGCGTCTACAGGGATGGGAATCCCATCTGAGAACACAGTGCCCGGGCAGCCTCGGAGCCGGGAGCCGGGGCGGGGAGGGAGCCTCACACAGACAGCAGGAAGGTGGGCGTTTTACTGCCCTGCGGGGGCAGGAATGGAGTGGACTGCACTGCACAGATCTACGTCATTATTACAGCAACACAAGACGGGGCGAGGTGTGCTCCCGGCACGGAAAGGTGTAAACAGTCAGAAGACAGGAGCCTCTGCTCCTGCTTTTTTGTTTTCGGTAGAGGTTGGAGAGTAGAAGTCGCCTCTGCTCTTCAAGCTTAGATTTCCTTGGTTTGTTGGTCTCTCCCACTGCGGGATGATCTCCTGGGGTCTTTGTCTCTGCTCCTTCTACACCTTGAGCCAGTGACGGAGCTGGAAAGAAAACAGGTTTATTCAGAAACAGTGAGGCTGCTTACAGAAGGGCAGCCCCGGGCCAAAGCCCACCTCTTGTGGCTGGGACCAGCCACCGGCAGTGAGCAGACAGCTTGTAGCCTCCTGACCACAAGCCCTGGGAGAGCGGGGGGCTCGTGGGGGGCCCGGACCACCATGCTCCTGACAGGCGCCAGGGATCCGAAGCCTCATTCACTTCTGTAAATCAATTATTACTTGATTTTTAAAAAGCAGTGAGACTGTGTTTGCCGTGGTGGGCATGGTGGCCTTTGGGGCGTATTTGAGCTCAGCTGCTGGGTACGAGAGATGCTGGGCATGCTCAGTTTGGGGCTGGTTCTAGACTGTACCCCAGTGATTTGGGGGTGATGTGGTGATGTCACCTCTCTCTCACGTCCCCGCCTCCTTCCTGGGGGTCTCGGATGCGTTGCCAGAGTGAGATGCTGCTTCTGCAGCTCTGTCTTGCTCTCGGTGACCCCGGCGGGCACAAGAGCAGGGCGTGCTGACCGCTCAGGGACTGACAAGATAGACAAGAGCAGCTCTTCGGCCGGCCGGCAAACGTCACTGCCCGCTATCATGCAGCCGCAAGTTCAGCCTATTTCTGAGCAGAAGCCTCTCGATAGCACGAAATGGCAAGAGGTGTGCCTCACAAACATTTCCCAGTGGCCATGCAGGGCTTGCTTCTGACAAAACCACACTGGCCACGGAAAGCCACTGAAACTACCACTGGCCACACCACAGACTTCTTCGGCCGCTCCACGGAGAGCCTGCAGGGGCCTCTGCAACCTGGCTGGGATCACACGGCAGGCCAGGGGTCTGCAGGGGGCCTGAAGCAGCCATAGCAGACACCAGCACAGGCAGCATCCAGGTGACGCTCGGGGCTCCGTGAAGGCTGGTGGGCACAGGGAGCCCGGCCAGGACCCACAGCAAGGGGTGGCTCAGTGGTTGGAGCACTGGAGCAGAGGCTCTGGGTGGCAGCCGTGCCTCAGCCTAGTGATGGGGAAGCCATGCTTGGGACTCCAGCTGTGAACCTTCCACCTGCGGGAGAAGCCGTTCTCTGTCCTGCCCTCTGACAGAAGCAGAAGGCCCCCCTCTGGAGGAAGGTGTGCCTGGGGGACCCCCAGATTCCCACAGAGTAAGATCAAGCCATAAATGTAAAATAAAGACCAGAACAGAAGACAGCACCCATTCTGAGCGAGTCCCCGGAAACCAGACCTCCACTTGACCCCAGAGAACCAGACCGGTTGCAGCAGATTACAGGACAGCCACACAGGGGGCTCTCGACAAAGGGACACTCACACAACATGGTGATGAGAATGTCACGAGAAACAGCAGAGCACACGTGCGGTTTCTGGAGACGAAGAAGAAAAGGGGACGGCTGGGAAGGCAGAGCACGGGAAGGGGCGTGGGAGGCAGAACCTGCAGCGCTGAGCTGTGGTTTGTTTACACGATGGACAGTCAGCGACCAGTCACGTGGGTGAACTGTAGCTATGGACACCGACATTTCTGATCTACACGGAATAGTAGGGGCTGAATTTACCCTACTGTCCAAAACAACCCCCAAATAAACAAAATACATGCACCAATGACCTACCAGACACTGGAAACCACAGCGTAAGGGTCAGTGGTCCCTGAGGGAAGCAAAAGGAGGGCCCCCGACCAGAAAGGCCCTCTCCACCACCCTGCTCACTGCCTCTAGGGAGTTTCTAGACTGCAGCACAGGGAAGGTGCAGCCTAGCGGACTCCCTGAGCGGAGAGGCTAGGGAAACAGGTGGCCGCAGATTAGAGGCCAGAGCGCCAGAGAGGAGACCCTGGACAGTGCCCCTGACCACCACCGAGGGTTCCGCAGAGCACATCCCACGTGCTTGAGGAGGCTGGGGAAGGACTACCAATAGAACCAGAGAGAAGGAACGACCTCTGATGCCCACACGGGGCTGGGCACAGTCCCTGCTCCCCCAGCCAGGAAAGACAGCAGGGTTCTCTGGGCTTCACATGGAGCATGCACAACGTCTCACCTCAGCAGGGGTCAGTTAGGGCTACACCGAAAGCTGAAGCCAAATAACACCCTGGGAACCTAGAAATGTTTAGAGATGCAACAACACGAGACCATAGGAAGGGCAAGGGAAAGATCGAGCTAGACTCAGGGACAGATGGGTGTGGGCAGCTTCCACAGTGTCTGGTTTCCCTGCTGTGGGCTCACAGGGTCTGTCTGTTACACAGACAAATCAATCGTTTAAAAATGGCCACCTGTGGATTAATGATAAGCGTGTGCTACTCAACTGTGCACCCGAGATTCAAATGAAGACAATTCCCGGGGACAAAGCGGACGCACCGGAGCCTCATAGCAGAAACAGAGGCAGAAGGCAATCTTCCAACATGCTGCTGCGAAATTCACAGAATCACACGATTTTTGAATCTACAGATCTGGATGCACAACATACCCAGACAGGATAAAAAAAGAAGAAACCCCGGTCCCCACACTTCACAGTGAACCTGTAACATGAAAAGCACAGGAAACGCAGCCGCGTGCAGGGGTGAGGCAGGGGTGAGGAGAGGCAGGGGTGAGGACAGAGCACGGGAAACTCGGTCCTGTGCAGGGGTGAGGCAGGGGGTGAGGACGGAGCAGGAGAATCTCAGCCATGTGTAGGGATGAAGACAGAGCACCAGAATCTCAGCTGCGTGCAGGGGCGAGGCAGGGGCGAGGCAGGGGTGAGGACAGAGCAGAAGAAACTCAGCCCCGTGCAGGGGTGAGGCAGGGGTGAGGACAGAGCACAGGAAACTCAGCCACATGCAGGAGTGAGTCAGGGGTGAGGACAGAGCACAGGAATCTCAGCCGTGTGCAGGGGTGAGGCAGGGGTGAGGACAGAGCACAAGAAACTCAGCCCCGTGCAGGAGTGAGGCAGGGGTGAGGACAGAGCACAAGAAACTCAGCCCCGTGCAGGAGTGAGGCAGGGGTGAGGACAGAGCACAAGAAACTCAGCCACATGCAGGGGTGAGTCAGGGGTGAGGACAGAGCACAGGAATCTCAGCCGTGTGCAGGGGTGAGGCAGGGGTGAGGACAGAGCACAAGAAACTCAGCCCCGTGCAGGAGTGAGGCAGGGGTGAGGACAGAGCACAGGAAACTCAGCCACGTGGAGGGGTGAAGCAGGGGTGAGGACGGAGCACAGGAAACTCAGCTGCGTGCAGAGGTGAGGACAGAGGACACGGCACAGAACGGCTCACGAGTCTGTAGGTCTCAGCACAGCCACAGAACACTGATGCCTCCAAAATGCTGATGGTCACTGTCAGGCTAGGACCCAGAGCCCACTACAGTGCTTTGGTGAATGAGAGCAGTGTAAAGACGTTCACAAACACCAGTAGTGAGGAGGCTGGCAAGAGACCTCCTCTAAGGAATGTCTGAAGGATGCTCTTTGAAAAGCAAAAAAGTGGTCCTAGAAGAAAGTAAGTCTATAACAAAAGTATGGGCAGCAACAAACGCCAAGCGTGCACATTAGTCCAAGGAACACAGTGAGTCGGTACAGAATAACAACAACGAGAACAGCAGCAGTGTCTAATGTGTGGGTTAAAAAGACAGAAGGATTTGAACAATCACAGCATATTCATCAGTAGAAGGAAGATTTAAGTCCTTGTGATGAGACAGGGTTAAGACATGGTTTAATTGTACAGTTTAAGTGAAAAATGTATGGTACAACCCAAGAGCAGCTATTAAAAGAACAGAATAAGGCTGGGCACAGTGGCTGCGAGGCAGAGGTGGGTGGATCACTCAAAGTCAGCAGTTCAAGACCAGCCTGGCCAACATGGCAAAACCCTGTCTTTACTAAAAATACAAATATTATCCAGGCATGGTGGCAGGTGCCTGTAATCCCAGCTACTCGAGAGGCTGAGTCAGGAGAATCACTTGAACCTGGGAGGTGGAGGTTGCAGTGAGTGGAGATCACACCACTTCACTCCAGTCTGGGTGACAGAGCAAGACTCCATCTCAAAAAAAAAAAAAAAAGTAGAAAGAAATAAATGGAATAAGAAAAATAAATGAACCAAAAAAAAATCAATCTATAAAAAGGCAATAAAGGAGAAAAATAAACATTAAAAAGTGGGACAAATAGAATTGAAAGACAGTTGAATTAATTCCAAATATATCAACAATCACAACAAATGTAAATGGATTGATCTGCCCAATTGTCAGAGTAAAAAATTCTAGGTGTTTGCTGGGTTTGCAAAAGACATCTAAATCTTAAGATCACTGCAAAGCTAAAAGTTAATAGATTGCAGAAGATATTTCTGGAAAACTCAGAAGACACCTGGTGCAACTACAGTCATCCCAGACAAATCAGACTTTACATTCAAAAGCTTCATTAGGGAGTTCACATCACCAGGAAGATATAATCCTTCTAGACATGGATCAACCGCAGGTAACAGCCTCAGACTAGAGAGAGCAAAACCTGGTATAACTGCAGGGGAACAGCAGACCAATATGCTATTGAGGTAGAATATGCCTCAGGCAGCTCTCAATTACTCATGGTCAAGCACCCCTAAAATGGACAAAGTGTAGACAATGTGGGTAACATGACAGACAAGCCTATTCAAATGGACGGGGCAGAACCAGTGCATTCGATCACTAGAGAAGAACACGTTCATCTAAAAGATGTGCAACGTTTATCAAAGTTGATCAGGTACAAGGCCCTAAAGAAGTCTCAATACATTTTAAATAATAAGTATCATATGTGTTTGAGAACAAAGAATGAATTTGGAAATTAGCCACAAAACGATGAATAAAACATCTGCATGTATCTGGCAACTTAAAAACAGACTTTTAAGCAAATTATGAGTTGACAAACTCACAATGGAAATTAAAGTATACTTAGAACTAAAAGGTAAAGGAAGTACTCTGTAAAATGTGGAATGCAACACATGAAGTATTTTGAGGAAAAATCATAGCCTTGAATGCTTACATTAGAAAAGAACAAAGGATGATCATTAATCTAAGGTCCAAATTGAAAAGTTAGCAGAACTACAGCAGAGTAGATCCAAGAAAAGCAGAGGAAGAAACAATAAATACAGGAGCTGAGGTTAATGTGACAGGAAGCAGAGCAAGAGTCCCACATGAAGTCAAAGTTAGATATTTGAGAAGACGAGCAAGATCCTCTACAAAGTGCACCACCCCCAGGTGTAGGACTCTCACAGGAGAGAGGCTCTCGTGGACTTGGATCAGAGGCCAGTGGGGAGGGGCTGGGGTCCCCTGGACAGATGGCTGTGAAGCCTGGATGCTTCTCCTGTGTTTGCAGCAGGTGAGTCACTGGGAGGACAGAGGGAAGGATTCCGAGGGAGGGAGGCCGAGCCCACACCAGAACTGGGACTTGCAGGGAGGAGGAACAAGGAAAGCTGTGCTCCTTGCTGCGGTCCCCGTGCGTGAACTCATGAGACCCCTGCTGGGAGGACTGTTCACCAGGAGGAGGCACAGAGAGGTGGCTGGAGGGAAGAGGCAGCCCCGAGGTGGGGCCTCGGTGCCCTGCACACCAGCCTTCTCTGCCCTTTGCCGTGCACTGGACTCTGCTGTCAGCATTTGTGTGACGTTAGTGCTTGGAATCATGTCCGGGCTGAGGCCGCTCTGGGGTGGAGAGGACAGTGCCATGGGCCCACGGCACAGCCCAGGTGCCTCTCCTGCCGGCCAGCTCTGTGATGGTGGGCACATTCCCAGGCCTCTCTGGGCCTCAGGGGCCTTGTGTAGAGAGAGTGGCGGGCTGCCTTTCAGGGCTGTGGGAGGAAAGCCTCGTCAAGTGTTTCCTCTGTGCCCCCGGGATGCACATGCTGCAAGGCAGGTCATGAACACGTGCGATGTGCGCACACTCCTGGATGGCTCCCAGGGTGCAGGAAAGACCTGGTGTGACCACTGTCTCACCTGGAGCCTGCTCCAGGCTCCCCGGGCCTCTCCCAGTCCCTCCAGGGCGTCCTGTGGCTCCCGATGACCAGGCCCAGACCTCCCCTCCTGGCCTGCTCCTGGCACTGTCCCTGGTGCCCCTGTGAGGCGGGCGGGTCCTTAAGCTGGCTTAGCTGGCCCTGCAGGGTGCTGCTCCCATGTCTGGGATGTGCCCAGGTCTTTGCAGGGATCGTGCATACTGCAGGCATCTGCGCAGATGCTCCTCCTGGGGCCCCCCGCATCATGCACCCCCTCCCAGGTGCACGCCTCCACTGTCACCTGCCACTGCTGCCTGCCTGTCCTCGTGGAGCACATGCTGACTGAGTAAATGAGTGCCACCTACAGCAGTCTCATCTACACCAGCCTTGTCCACACTAGCCTTGAAGCCCTCTGGGGGCTGCAGGAGCAGCGGGGGCAAAGAACACCATGCTTGGGACCATTCGGAATTCCCCGAGAGAGGCCCGGGGGGCTGTGACCTCACCGTGAACTGGCGCACCTCCCCTCTGTCCAGCAGCTCACGGTCCTTCTCAGGTGCAATGGCGTAGGCCAGTTTCTGAAAGACAAGGAGAGTGCGGGGGCCAGTGCAGACCAGCACCCACCGCTGACTCTGCCAGCACCCGCACCTGCCAGCACCCCTCACCTGCCAGTGCCCACCCGCCAGCGTCCACACCACCCGCGCCCAGCGCTGACACACTGCCAGTGCCCACACCGACCTGACACTGGTCAGGCCTGGAGGCCGACGTCCTGATGGTCTCCTTAAATGAGCCCTCACTTGAAATAAAACGTGGTCTTTGAGGCCTCTCCACTGAGGCAGCTGTTTCTAAGTCACCACATGTGGTGGGCTCTGAGTAAGAAAGTGCCCATGCCCTGGTGGGCAGCCTTGGCGCCGCCTGCAGCTGACACATTCCAGGAGCACTTGCCTTTTGTCCCCTGTGGCTCCTGGGAGAGTGACCATTGGGCCTGCCTTCCTTTCACGGCCCGCTGCGGCAGCTCCTGGGGCTTGGACAGTACCGAGTCCTCCCAGAGCTGGTGGTATCTTCGGGGGCTCACACTCGGGGGCCTGGATACCTGTGTCTGGATCTCTGAGGCCAGATGACTTCTCTCAGGGACCCCTGCACGTGGCCCTCACCCACGTCATCACCACAGTTCCACCTGTACCCGGCCCAGCGGCTGAGGTTTTACTTTGGCTTATGCTCAGAGTTTGGCCGTGTGAAGGGTAAGGAAATCGGCTATTCAGGCCCGCTGGGCTGCAGCTCCGCGCTGACCTTGGCCCCTCCTCCCAAGTCCATCCAGACTCCCAGAGGCGCTGTCTCCCTGCAGGGACCGCCCGGCTGCTCGCTCTTCCCCTGCGCTGGGTCCTGGGAGGTCAGTGAGTGGGGGCCTGAGAAGGACTGTCCACAGCAGGGTACCATCAGCTTTCCTGGGGCCATGGCAGCCCCTGAGACCCTCCCACTCCAGAGAGGGGCCACGTTCTGTGCTTTGCTTGCACTGGGCCCTGGCCTGCCAGGCTGCTGGAGAGACTGGCTCAGTGCCAGCCTGGGGCACCTGTCATGTGTCTGAGCCCAGGTGTGGACCGAAGGTGGACTCCTTGAACACGGCTGGTGCAGCTATGGGGATTTGCTGCCCAGGGCCAAGGCAGTTCTTTCTGAGAAAGACTGGGATTCGAGGCAAGCAGCTCCCAGTGGCTGGCTCTCAGATGAGGGCGACCTTCTTCCAAGGAGGGCGGGTCCTTATCTCTTCCGGGGACCACAGAGCCAGGGTGTTAAATAGGGGGACCCCCATGACTGGTTCACCTGCCTTTCCTCTACACGAAGGAGGCAAAGCCAAGAGGAGGAGCAGAAGTGCGTGTCAGTGACTCCACAGAGCTCCCTCCACTGCCTGGGCTCCAGCTGCCCCTGTTCGGCCAAAGTGGGGCTCAGCCCTGGGGGTGACCTAGGTCACGCCTGATTCCACCGCCCTCAGATGGCTGCTGTGTCCACCCCACCACACACTATAGTGTGTAAGCATGCATGCACTCAGTACACACAAACACTTGGACATGCATGAGAGCACAAACCCAGGCACACACACATGTGCACAGAGACACAGACACACACAGACAGGTAGATACAGTGGACGGACGCACAGGCACATGCACACACAGACACACACAGACAGGAAGATACAGTGGATGCACACACAGGCACATATGTGCACACAGACACACAGGTTGATACAGTGGATGAACACACAGGCACGTGCACACACAGACACACACAGACACGTGACATACACAAAGACACCCACAGGAATGCACATATGGACACCCGCACCCATGGACACAGGTGTGCAGGTAGACACACACACACACACACACACACACACACACACACACACACTGTTGTGGTGGCAACATCCAGTCTCCTCCTCTTGGCCACAGATGACCCAGGCAGGTGAGGACTGGGCTGTGGCCACCCAATGAGCCTTCCTGGAGCACTCACACTCAGGCGAAGGCACCCTGTCCGAATACCCACCTCTCGAAAGGACCCGGGCAGGCTGCAGAACTTGTAGGCTGCGTAGATGGGCACCATGGCCATGGACGATGTGGCAATGACCCAGCCCAGTGCATTGGCCCAGTCGGGGAAGATGTAGGCTCCGTAGTGGGGGGGCCTGAAGGTCACAATGCTGACCACGACCACGAACTGAAACCAGTGGACACAGAGGTCAGGCAGATCTCAGCCAGCAGTGCCAGGAGAAAGCAAGGCTCAGACAGGCACTTCATGACACAGGGTCTCTTGGCTCCCACGGCTGTGCACGTGCAGACCCCAGCAAGGCCTGCAGACATGGCAGCCGGGCATCCACAGCCTCCTGAGGCATGATCTAGCCTGTCCTGTCCTATCCTGCTCTGTCCCATTCCGTCCCATCCTGTTTTATCCCATCCTATCCCATCCCATTCCACCCCATTCTATCTCATCCAGTTCTACCCCATCCCATCCCATTCCATCCCATCCCATCCCATCTCATCCTGCTCCATCCCATCCCAGTCCCATCTCATCTTGTTCCATTCCATCCCATCCCATCCCACCCTATCCCATCCCATCCCATCTCATCCCATCCCATCCCATCCCATCCCATCTCATCCTGCTCCATCCCATCCCATCGCATCCCATCTCATCCTGTTCCATTCCATCCCATCCCACCCTATTCCCATCCCATCCCATCCCATCCCATCCCATCCCATCCCATCCCATCCCACCCCATCCCATCTCATCCCATCCCATCCCATCCCATCCCATCCCATCCCATCCCATCCCATCCCATGCCTTCCTGTTTTATTCCTTGCTTGAAATCACAACAAAGCAAATCTGGCCACTACTCAGTACACTGAATCTATGCTCCATGAACTGAAGACAGAACTGTGAGACATGCAGAGACAACCCTAGGGACATCTGAGCTCCATATCCCTACTCATTATAGAAGCAAATCTGATAAAGTCACAGAGCTATCTCAGAACACCACCACGAAGGTAATTTGGGCGGGGGGTGGATGCCACTTGGAGGGGAAGCTTCCCACTCTCCGGAGACTTTTCCTAAGGCAGCTCATGCATCTGTTAATCCACTCGACAAAACGCAGCACCATCTAAAAACAGCCTCCACGTGCCTACATATATGCCGCACACCTATGTTCCATGTACCCACATGTGGACTGCACACCTATGTATGTGCCGCACACCTGTGTTCCATGTACCCACATGTGAACTGCATACCTACATATGTATTGCACACCTGACTGTGTTCCGTGTACCACAAGTGGACTGCATGCCTATATGTACTGCACACCTGACTGTGTTCTGTGTACCACATGTGTACTGCATACCTAAATATGTGCTGCACACCTGTGTTCTGTGTACCACATGTGGCCTGCACACCTACATATATGTCACACACCTGCGTTCCATGTACCACATGTGGATTGCCCACCTACATATGTGCTGCACACCTGTGTTCCGTGTACCACATGTGGACTGCACACCTACATATGTACTGTATGCCTGACTGTGTTCCGTGTACTACATGTGGATGGCACACCTACATATGTACTACACACCTGTGTTCCATGTACCACATGTGGACTGCACACCTACATATGTACTGCACACCTGTGTTCTGTGTACCACATGTGGACTGCATACCTACATATGTGCTACACACCTGTGTTCTGTGTACCACATGTGGACTGCACACCTACATATGTGCCACACACCTGACTGTTCTGTGTACCACATGTGGACTGCATGCCTGTATATGTGCCACACACCTGACTGTGTTCCATGTATCACATGTGGACTGCACACCTACATATGTACTGCACACCTGACTGTGTTCTGTGTACCACATGTGGACTGCATGCCTGTATATGTGCTGCACACCTGGGTCCTTTCCAAGGAGACAAGGAAAGCTCTGATAGATATGGCTTATGAGATAAGAGCTTAACATGCAACTTTTTCCAAACTGTCCATTTTTCCTCAATTTCAGAAAAGTTGAACATCCAAGCCTTCTACCCGGAAAGCACGTTGGATGCGGGTCTCATGCCAGTCTCAGCATCTTCTTCAAGTGCTGCCTCGAGCCACCTGTAGGTTTGGAGCCGGGTAGCAAAGGACTGGGAAGGGGTTGGGGTCGGGTCTGTCACATGACCAAAGCCAGGACAGGCAGCTCTTTGGCAAATGAGGCCAGTGTCCTGGAGCATCTGGGATTAGGGGCGCCTGCCCTGGTTGCAGAGAGAGCCCTGAGCACACTTTAAAGGGCCATGCGTGCCTCCCTAGACACGGCAGTTTTGCATAATGGACATGTAGGTATTGCTGTAATATGTTTTCTTGCATTGTTCAACTTCTTGCTAGCCAGCACTTTTCTTAGGAAGAAAAAGCTCTAAGTTGGCAAAATGAAGTCCTGTTTTGTATAGTTTGTAGGTTTATCTACAACTACGAAGTGTGTTTCTGTATGAAGTTCAAAGATTTAGTCTAAGATCAGTAGAATGTTTTATCTCCTAAGATCAAGGTCAGCCCTCTGGATGTTAATAGGAGAAACCCCACCAAAGGGAGCCAATGTCTTCATGCAAAACAGCTCGGTTTCAACTAAAGGCTGAACAGTGCGGGGAAGAGGTCCTGTGCCAGGCAGGGGAGAGCAGTGGGTGAGTGAGAGGCTGATTTCCCACGGGATCTTTCCCCTCTGCTCCAGGCCAGGGAAAGTGGAGGGTGGGTGGGAGGCTGATTTCCCAGGGGGGCTGCCTCACTTTCCCCTTTGAACAGCCATGTACTCTGTGTCCTATTAAAAGACTGCCCCTGAATCCAGGAGCCTTCAACGAGAGCCTCACAGGAGCAGTTAACTGAGCTTGGACTGCTTATGTGCAGTCAGTCACCTGGAGCTCAGATACGGTGGAATTGCTGCAAGATGCCAGGGTGGGTTCTCTGACACTGTCGAGCTCCTCTGGGATAGGGCCTGTCTCTCATCTCTTTCCTGCACCCCAGGCACCTGCCCTTGGGTGCTCAGACCCCTCTGCTTGCAACTACAGGGCTTTCCCACCTGCTGTGTACAGGTGATGAGGGGTCTCCACACACACAGGCCCTGTTGACCCCAGGACCAGCCCTTGGTCCATGAGAGGGTGCAGCCTGAGTCCCCTGCCCCATTCCAGCCACCTCCTTGTGCCTACGGGACTCGGCAGGTGCTTTTCTGTGTGAGCAGCTCAAAGGACCTGAGCCTCAGACCTGGACAGCTCTTAGGGGGCCTGTCTAGACCAGGCAGTGCAGTTTTGCTTTGCAAGCCTCCTGGCCCCTGGGGGAAGCACTGCAGGCAATCCCTAATGAATGGGCATGGCCCCGTTCCAACAAAACTCCATTACAAATGCGGGCGTCTGAAGGCCTTGCCTGGTGGGCCCTAACTCAGCGGCCCAGCCCAGGTGACAGAAACAAGTGCCTCCTGGACACAGTGGTGCTGCTGAGTCAGAGGGAGGCCTGTGTGAGCAACGGGACAGGGCCGAGGCCACTGCTGCCCTCAGGGTCTCCAGCCCTCAGCGTCCTCTGTCCCCGCTGCCCTGGAAACTCTAACTTCCACCTTGATCCTCACGGCAGAGGTGAGTGCATGGCCCGACTCACCTCCAGCTTCCCCTCCCAACACAGACACTCGGCCCAAGCACAGGACTCACATGGCCTGTGACAGGGGTCCAAGGCTACCTGGGACCACACGTGAGGTTTCCTGGGTGGGCGTAGAGGGGAAGGTAGAACACCTACAGGAGACAGGCCTGCCCTTCTGGGCCGAGTTCCGAGACCCTTGACTCCAGCCATAGTGACCTCAGTCTCAAAGCGGCCTTTATGGGCCCACCCCAGGCCCTGCTCCCAGACTCCTGTGCACTCAATTTGCTCAAGCAACAACCTCATGCAGCCATTGGACCCCAGGGGCAGGTGCCAGAGCGGGGGGCAGTGGGCCGATAGGGAAGGGGTAGGCAACTGAGGTCCCTTACCAGAAGGAAGCAGGGGCTGACCAGCTTCCAGCACAGCCGCCAGTACAGGCTGGGCCGCTGCCCGGTCATCTGCTGGATGTCATCGCTGAACTGCCCGACACCTGCGGGGAGAAGCAGCAGCTTCAGCGCCCATCAGGGCAGCACATTCCCCTGATGCTGGACACGCGTGGGGCTCCTCGCTGACCCCGAGTCCCACCCACTGACCCCAGGCTCCTGAAGAGGGGGCCGGGCCACACTCCAGCCCACTGGGTGCCTTGCAGATGGGTGGGAACCCGTGTGCCCGCTCCACTCTGGAGACACACCAGGAAGACCCATGCCCCAGCGGGAGCTCCCCGTGCCACAGTGACAGCCCCTCGGGTCCTCCTCCCCATCCCACAGCTCTCCTATCTCCCTCTGCCGCCAGGAATTTTTTTCACTTAAAAAGTTTGTGGTAAAATACACATAACATAAAACTTAGCATTGTAGCCATTTTTATGTGTAGAGTTCATAATGTATTATTAATACATTCAGATTTTGTGTTCCCAACACCACCACCCAACTTCCAAGCTTCTCCATCTTCCCAAAAGGAAATTCTGACCCCACTACATGTCAATTTCTCCTGACCCCCAGCCCCCACCGAGCTGCTGTGCCATCTGCTTTTTGTCTCAATGCATGTGACTCTCCTGGGGACCTCTGTGAGTGGGGACACAAGGCGTGAGGGCTTCTGTGACCGGCTTACTTCCCGTAGAGTGTCCCTGAGGCCATCTGAGCTGCAGCCCATGTCGACATTCTTTTCTTTTTAAGGTCGAATCATATTCCGTCATAAGAATACATCACTGTGTCTTCAGAAAAGCTACTTCTAGAAACGTAATAAACATTTTTCTCCCCAAAAGCAAGCACCAGCAGTCTGCTTTAGAAATGCACGTTTCCCTTTCACTGGTATTATCTATATTATCTACTTCTTTTAGGAACTGACCGTAAGAAGACCTTAAGAATGATTTTTCCCGCACATCTGGCCTGGTGTGTGACTCGTGCAGCCATAGCTGATCTGCTGAGATTTGGGGCAAGCCTTGTGGGTGTCCTGTGTTCTGTCAGAAAGAAGCCTCCATGCAGAACCCCCTCCCCACACCCCACCTGGGGATCTGGGCTCGACATGAGAGATGGACGTGGGAAGGAGTGGGGACACAGACGGGTGAGGCCAGAAGCAGCAAAAGGGAGCATCCCCAAGGCCCCTCAGGCTCTGGACTCAGCCTCCCACCAGCAGGTCCGAGGGCCCTGCCGGAGCAGGTGGGGTGAGCTCCAAGACCTGCACGCCCTTGGTGCAGTGGAAGCCTGGTATATTCCAGTGTATCTTATTAGAGCACAGATTTTGTTTCATTTAGATGAGGGGTGCTGGATTCCTCTTTGGAAATATAACACAGAGCTTGGTCTTCTGAGGTGCAAGATGCCAGGGCCAGCTTTTCCCCGCCCCCCATGGTTTCAGAGGCCATGGTGCTGGGGTGAATTCGAGGCACTTTCTCCTTCCTCTGTGAAGCTCTATGTTTTGTTCAGGGGAGATGACAATTAAAGTGATAGATAAAGTATTGATTCCAAGTACCCGTGAAAGCACAAGTTTGATATTTCCCTTTTCTGTAGAACAACGCTGAAAAACAAGAACACTGAAAAGAATATTCTCAGGATAGGAGCTATTTGTCCTATTTGTCTCAATGCCAGGGTGTTTATCTGGTTATAAATTCCACAGCTCTGAGGCAGAGAAAATGACCCCTCGTATGCAGGCGAGCTGGGCGTCCTCCAAAACCAGGGTTCACACAGCATCAGAGACATTCAGCTTTGGCTGGAAAGACACACCTGTTAGGCCTCGTCAGCTCTCCTGAAGCCACCTGGCCAGGTGAGCAGAGCCGGCATCACAGCCCCATTTTACAGAAGACAGAACTCAGGGGAGTGGAGGTGGCTTGCCAGGTCAGCATGCGTGAAAAGGGTAGCCCTGGTGCCAGGCTGGGTTCGTTGCTGTTTAAACCACCAGTAGACATTCCAGGACACAGCTGGGGTGGCACAGTGGGCAGGAGCTGCGCCCTGTTGGAGGGCCACCTGCTGACCCTCAGGCCTGACTGCTCTGGAGCCCTGGTCAGCAGGGAAGGCCATGACAGCACCTTTGAAATGCTATGTCACATCCCTGCTGAAGCCCCCAGCATGGATCTGATTGTGTTCCCCTATGTGGGGTGGGCTCGCTGGTGCCTCTGGCATGGAGGACGTTGAAGCCACCTGGCTGCTGTGAACACCTCTGACCACAGTGTGTGTCTTCTGGCTGCCATCCAAGCTAAGCACCTCACTGATCCCATCGAAGGGACCAGTGCCAAGCCTCTCCCCTCTGTGAAGCTGTGATGACCCCAACCCAGGCTACCTGCAGCTGAAAGGTGTTTCTTCATGGCGGCTTTGTCACATGGGGAGTGGCACAGCCACCAAACAAGAGGGCGCCAGCCTGGTTGCCTCTCCTGGACTCACCATAGAACCAGGCCACCCCAATGGCTTCGATGAGCACTCCAAAGAGGATGGACGTGCCGGCCGCGAAATGGTCCAGCAGCGTGAAGACATAGATGCCGCCCTGGAAGAGAGGGATCCTGTGGACCTGCGGGAAGGCTGTTCCCAAAGGTAAGCCTAGCCTGGGGACACACTGCACACACAAGCTCTGTTTCACTCACTGCAAACTCTGGTTTCAGTCCCTAAAATTCAATCCACATGCAGCTTCTTAGGGCCACTTCTATTACAAAAAATAATAATAATTAAAACGACCTCTCCTTTTCTTTCCTAGGGCTTCACGTGCAATTAGAAATGGAAGCAACCGAATGTGGAAGTTGGCAGTGCCTCCCTTGGAGAGGAGGTGGCCTGGGCTCTCCTGCCACATAGATAGATTCTGTCACCCCCAGCATCCCCCAGTCCTCAAGCCCTAGAGGGAGGCAGCTTCAGCCTTGGGCGCGCCTGGGGGAGCTGTCCAGGTGCTGAGGTGACCATGGGACTCATACTCCGGGGAACTGTCCAGGTGCTGAAGTGACCACGGGACGCACATTCCGGGGAGCTGTCCAGGTGCTGAAGTGATTGGGACCAAGCTCCGGATGTGCAGTTAACCCTGTGCACTCGTCTGTGTGCATTCGTGTGTGTATGAATCATTTGCTGGGTGGGTGGGGACGCAGCTTCCTGGAAGCACTGTGGTTCTGTCTGACCTGACAGTCCCAGCCAGGCCGCCCTGTGCCACATGCTAAGGAGACATAACCAGGAGAAAGGTGAAGCCGGCAATGGTACGTACGTTGGTGACGCAGAACAGGGAGAGGAGGAAGGTCGCCAGTACAATGAAGAGCGTGAAGAGCTCACGGTGTCTGTGCAGCAGCTGGAATTCAGTCAATGAGCCCGGTGATCACCGACTCCATGCCGCCCATCTGCACACAGAGCACAGGGTCAGGCTGCAGGCTGGGGCACTGTTCACTGCAGCCTGGGCCGAGATCTACTCATCACTCAGTGGATGCACACCCAGAGATGCACATGGAACGGCGCCGCACGGCTGTCCAGGGTGCAGGACACCTGGTAGCAAGGACAGCTGTTGGCGAGAGCTTCTCTGGTGGCACAACCGCAGGAGAGAGGACCCAGAGGGACCACGCTATGCATGGTAGGGGGAAGCTCAGAGAGACCACACTATCCACGGAAGGGGGGACCCAGGGGGCCACTCTATCCACGGTAGGGAGGACCCAAAGGGACCACTCTATCCACGGTAGGGAGGACCCAGAGGGGCCACTCTATCCATGGCAGGGGGGACCCAGCAGGACCCCTTTTTCACGGTAGGAGGGACCCAAAGGGACCACTCTATCCACGGTAGAAAGACCCAGAGGGGCCATGGTATCTGCAGTAGGGGAGACCCAGAGGGACCACACTGTCCACAGTAGGGGATTTGTAGCCTCATCAACATCTCTGGATGGGTAAGATGTGGCACAGCTAAAACACCACCACCCTGTCCACTGCTACTGCACAGGCTTGGCTCGGCCAAATTTTCCTGAGCAAGATGACCCCCACATGCAAAGCTTTTGGGTGCACCTGGCCCGGTCACTGGCTACACCTCCCCAGTGGAGACTCCTGACTCTGAGTGTCCTCCCGTGGGATGCCATCCAGGTACCTGACTCCTGCTTAGTGACCTTCTTTGACTTGCTTAGTCCAGACCTCCCTTCATGCTCCTACATCAGGAACATGAGGCCTGTGGTCAACTCAGGGGCGGTGGCCCAGCTGGGTAGGAGATGAGTGGGGGCTGGATGTATGACCAGTCTTTATGTGGAAAGGGATTCTGGGTCCCAAGCAGCTGACAGGGAAGAAGGAGTCTGAGAAAGTCCAGCTGGTCCAGGGTTGATCAAGGGCTGGACCCACCACCCCCAGTAGCTGGACATGCAGAGGCCACACGCAAAGCATTCGGGGCCTGGCCTGAGATCCATGGGAACCAGGAACTTCTGCTGCCCTCCCCATTCCTTGTGGGGGAGCCAAGGGTTCCAGGGAAAGCCCCGAGACAGGAAGAACCTGCTGTGTACCAACCAAGGCCCCACCACTCTGGTGTCCTGAGCCAAGTCTTTGGTGGCCGGGGCCCTGCTGCATGTGTGTGCATGCATCTATGCATATGTGCATGTGTGTGAGTGCATACATGTGTGAGTGCATGCATGTGTGTGTTCATGTATGTACATGTGTATGTGTGCATGTGTGTGAGAATTTGTGTATGTGTGTGCATGCATGTGTTTGCATTGCATGCATGTGCATGCATGTGTGTGTGCATGAGTGCATACATGCATGTAGATTCATGTGTGTGCATTCGTGTATGTGTGTGCATGTATGTGTGTACATGTGTGTGCACATGTGTGAGTGTATGCATGTGTGTGTGCATTCGTGTACCTGTATATGTGTGTGTGCACTTATGAGTGCATGCATGTGTATGCACGTGTGAGTGCATGCAATGTATGTGCGCATTTGTATGTGTACCTGCATGTGTGCATGTGTGTGTACATTCGTGTATGTGCGTGCATGCGTGTGCATGTGAGTGCATGCATGTGTATACGTGTTTGTGTACCTGTGTATGTGTGCATGTGTGTGAATTTGCATGTGTGTGCCTGTGTGTGCATGTGTGGGTGCATGCATGTGTGTGCATTCATGTGTACCTGTGTGTATGTCTGCATGCATGTGTGCATGTGTGTGTGCATGCATTCATGTATGTGTTCGTGTGTGTATGTGTGCATCTGTGTGAGCATTCGTGTGCGTGTGCATTTGTGTGCATGTGTGTGCTTGTGCATGCAGGTGTGTGCATGCACATGTCCAGGATCTGTAGGTGGCTCAGGGCAGGTCACACAGGTACCCCAGAGTAGAGTGATAAAGGAAAAGTTAAACTCCAGTCACCACTCACCCCAGCCCAAGAAAGGTCTCCCAAATAATCGTGGGGCTTACTTGAGTCAAGCACAGGAGGCCTGGGGGCCGTCTGTGAGCCCAGGGGTCTTGCCTGACCCGGGAAGGGCAGGGCCCCCTTGGGTGGAAGGAGCCCAAGTACCAAGGATGGGGCTGGATGGCGCAGGTTACTCACGGCACTGTCGATGCCCAGGGTGAGCAGCATGATGAAGAAGACCACGGCCCAGGCCGAGGACAGCGGGAGTGTGGCGATGGCCTCTGGGTAGATGATGAAGATCAGCCCCGGCCCTGAAACCAGAACCCACTGTGCTTTCCACGGAGCTCATGCAGTGCTCTCCCACCTACTCCATCCCGAGAGGCCAACACGGCCCACCACAGGCCTGTAAGGACTAGGGCTAGTGCAGCCCTGCTGAAAGCCTCCCTCCTGTGCATCCAGCAGATCCTGGCCTGGGACTCAGGAAAACGGAAACCCAGAACCAATCCGAGGGCTTCAGTTCACGCCCACTACCCAGCAGCGGGGCTCCTTCAGATCACCTGCATCCTCGAGGGCTATGGGGGCGCTGGGAGAAGGAGGGGTCAGAAACAAGGAGAGGGCAGGAGGGGTTTCCAAGGTGGTCCTGCCCTTCGTCCCAAGTGACACCTGCTAATGTCCTTCTAGTTGGTTTTTCCTGCACATATCATGTGATATACACACACAGGCACATGCACACACATGTATGAACACACATTTGTGCACTCATACTCATATGTGCACAAACACACACACACACACACACAAATAGACCCAGGCACACGAGCACAAATACACACAAATCATACACATCCACATTATTTAGTAGCCTAATTTCTAAATTTAGCAATACATTAGGGATACGTTCCTGACCTCTGCCTCCCAGGCACACAAGGAGGTTAAGGCCCTCCCACGAGGTTGGATATGGCTATCCTTGGCCAATGCATGGTGAACCCACTATGCGAGTGAAGCTTAGTAGAGGAGCATGTGGCTCCTTCACCACCCTCCCCACCATAGGGTCCGGGAGGTCACATCGACACAGGCTGCTATCAGCTGGGGCCCTGAGGGCTCAGAGGAGCAGCACATCCTGATGCCCACAGGGTCGGAGACCACAGGGGCCCAGATGGAGATAAACCTGCAATCCTGTTATCCCTGCAAGCCAGGGAGGGGCATGCCAGGCTGAGGGTGGCATGGCCAAGGCAGGAGGTATCCCCACACAGCTCTCTTGGGAAACAACATGTGCTTCCTGCTACCAGCAGGCAGACTCAGGTGGAGATGGAGGGGTTGGGAGCATGGTAGCCACGCACCCGAAAGTCAATGCAATTTGGTGTCCAATGACCCCAAAGTGAAAAACAGTCCCACAGGCAACTGACCATGGACCACTTTAGAAGCCTCACGTCCTCTACTGGCCGGCTGGTCTCCTGAGTCCAGTCGGCCTGCAACAGACTCCCCTGTCCTCGCAGACACGTGTCTGGCCCTAGCCTACGGGAATGGGCCTGTGTCCAGCCTTTTAAACGATCAAAGGCCAGAGCCAGGGCAGTTCCTAAAGGTCTTTCAGGGGCCTTACTGTCAGCCAAGCAGCAGGATCAGGCCCGGCCCTCGCAACTCCCTGATACCCTGGTGGCCGGGGGCAGCCTCTGCGTGGGGTTGGGGAGGCAGGTTTGCCTGAGACCTTCTGAGGCTTAGATGGTATAAGTTAGGAGCCTGGGAAGAGATTCATCAGCTCCGGGAACATAATGTCAACATCCTCGCCTTCATTTCCGTACCTGCGTTAACATTTCACCCTGTTTTCTTGAGAATTAAGGCTGAAAATGACATTTACTTTGCTTGTCATGAAACGCATAGAAGATATTCCACTATTTTCAGGGGTTAATAGAGGTCTTGCAAACTATGCTAGTTATCATAATAAAGGGCAAAGAGTGGAGAAAATGCAAAAATGCAGCAATGAGTAAATTTCACTGCTCTGCATTTATTTGCATGATGTTTCCTTCTCCCGCTTTGACTGAATTTTTTCTTCTAGAGGAAAGAATGTGGGCTTAGGAGGCCCACCTCTGAGCTGTGGCTCCGGCCCCAACCCCAGCTTTCTGTTGCAAGGGTGGAGGGGTCCTTTCAGGTCTCCAAGCCTGTTCCTACCTGCAGTACCAGGGTCCTAGTGACTCAGAGGGGGCAAGGCTGCCTGGCCCTGTGCTTGTCACTCCCCACCCTTGCTGAGCCCCAACCCCCAGGTAGAGGTCAGTCAGCGACAACACCCACGGGACAGGGGCTTTTCTGAGCACGATCATTCCTCACCAACCTTGACCCCAGGAGAAGACAGTCCAGAGGAGCAAGGATGGGGATGCAGGATGGGAGCCTACCCAACCCGGGGGCCCATGTCTGGAAGGAAAGGGCCTTGTCCACATCCGTGTGGCACAGAGGCCTGGAGGCAGGCGGGGGCTCTGCTGGCTGCCAGACCGAGAAGCCTTGGGACTCCTCGGAGCTCTTGGCTGGCCCAAGTTAGAGCTGCCAACGCCACGGCTTCTCATTCCAAGCACCAGAGCCGGGCAGTGACCCCAAGTGCCTGGGCCTCCCCTCACCCCAACATCTGTGCCCGTCCTGCTGGCTCCTTCCTGCCTGGCACACTTCCTTCTTCAGCCAAGGTCTCCCCTTACCCTGGCATCTGTGCTGATCCTGCCGGCTCTTCCCGCCTGGCACACTTCCTTCTGTGGCCGAGGCCTCCCCTCAGCCCTGGCATTTGTGTCCGGCCTCCCAGCTCCTGGCACACTTCCTGCTGCAGCTGAGGCCTCCCCAGGTCACCTGCACCTGCCCGAGCCCTGGACCCCTCCTCACCCCCTCAGAGACAACTCCAGGCATGCAGGGACACTCGGCGTCACACGTTGGCCTGGTGAGCAGGCAGGGACACCTGCACTGGAGGCCTCAGGGGTCTCCCAGCTGCTCCGTGGCCGAGCCGACGTCCCTGGCGTCCCAGGCCGGCTCCAGGTGATGCTGGAACAGCTCGTTCCGCCCCTTCCCCAAACTGCACGTTCCCTCACCACGTGGCAAGCAGACATCTAGAGGGCCCTGAGTGACAATCTCCGCTGGAGACCCTCACAGCGTGCCTCACATGGCGTCTGCAGGGAGCAGCAGAGGGACCGCGGCACAGCTGTGCTGCACAGGTGCATGTGGGCTTGAGGTTCCGCATACAGGGGTGGAGGGCCCGGGGGGGACAGGGCAGGGAAGGTGCAGGGGCGGCGGGGGCGGGCAGGTCTGTGCTGGGACGTGTGCCGCTCCGGCCGCCACCCTTTAAGAGTAAGGCAGCAGCTCTCTCTGACATTGCTCAGAGCATGTGCGTCTCCTTCCTCTCTTGCAAGGAAAAAGGCTTTGCTGAGAGCTCGGCGCCACTGCTACACGGAGCCGGCCCGGATGCAGCAGGAGGGGCTCACCGTCCTTGGCCACGTCCGCGATGGGCACGCTGTGCTTCTGTGCCATGTACCCCAGGAAGGAGAAGACCACGAAGCCGGAGGAGAAGCTCGTCAGGGAGTTGATGGAGGTGGTGACAATCGCATCCCTGCAAGAACAAGACAAGCTGTCTCAGGAACCAGCTGAGCTGCAGAGGCTGCAATTTTCCAGTCATTATTCTTAATTAACTGTGTCTGGGGAAGGGGCGGAAGGTCTCTGGAGGGGCCAGTTTCCCCAGCGAGCTGGCCCCTTAGCAGCCAGGCAGAGCTGTCCTTCGGCCACCTTGGCCCGCTGGTTGAGCTGCTCAAGGTTCAGCCATCAGGGCTCAGGGTGGGCGACTGCCCCTGTGCCCAGCGAGTCCTGCGGTGGGCGTCCCACCCACCTTGCCGGGCAGAGCTTCCAGAACCTTGAGGAACACACACCTCCTGGGAACCTCGCTAAGATGCAGATGCTGACTGGGCAGGTCTCGTGGGGTCACAGGGGCTGCGTTGCCCGTAAACTCCCAGGGTGCTGGGGTTGCTGGCCTGGGAGCCCCACTCTGAGGGCTGGAGGCAAGCAAGGGGGGACCAGGGAGGGTCCTGGGGTCGGTCAGGGCATCAGCGTCCTCCTCTTGGGTTCCTGTGTGGTCTGTTGCCGGGCTGAAGGACCACATGCTTCATCTGCAGAGTGCCTGGACCCAGGTGGACGCAGGCGGGCTCTGAGCAGGGCTGCCGAGCTTGGGACCTGCCTTCTAGCACCTCCTCTCTATGGAGCCTGCCTGTGGTCTGCCCGGCCATTCTGCCACACACACTGTTCCTGTGTTTTTACTGTGCTTATCCTCATGATGTGAAAGAAAGTAAACACAAGCCCATAAAGTTCAAAGAAAGCAGGTCCCACATAAAATTCTGCTTCTGTTTTTAGGAGGATTTTGGGTCCAGCATGAGGCTTTGGGTGACTGCCGGTAACATGGGTGCACACGGGATGGGGTTGTGAAGCCAAACCGTGAGGGAGGATGGGGACCTCACTGGGGCTGGTGTGGGGAGGAGGGTATGTCCCTGTGGAGGGAGGGGCTGGCCTTGCCAATGGTGAGGGGGGCATCTGTGGGGAATCATCTGCCAGCAGGTCAGGCCTAGGCGGGCCCCTCCCACCAGGTTCAGCACCTTCACTAGAGTGGAAGTCAGAATCGTGTTGGGAGCTGTCTCACTGTCACGTCTGTCTGAAAGGCCACACAGCTCACGGGCTTGTGGGTTCAGTTTACCCACCCTGTCCTCACCCAGGGATGCACAATTTTTAACAGTCAATGACCGCTCCCCAGTACCGGCAAGGCCCCTGCCCAGCCCTGCTAGGGGCTCACCTGTAGCAGTCGTTGGTGAACTTGTTGTAGCTGGAGAAGGCGATCAGCACCCCGAACCCCACGCCCAGGGAGAAGCACACCTGAGTGGCGGCATCGATCCAAACCTGCAGAGCCAGAGACCGGTGAGGGGCTGCCCCAGGAAAGCGCAGGCCTGTGGGCAAAGGACCCGAGCACCCTCCCATCCCGGCCCAATGCTGAGGCCTCTAAACTCAACAGCAGCCTCGAGAAGCAAATGGCAGCAGCACGACCGTGGAAAACGAACTCTCTGGCCAGCGGCCTGAAAGAGCCAGAGAAGCAGGAGGCTGTCTGTCCATTGACCTGCGATTCCCCATGGAGTATCTGTCAGGGCAGCGATTCCGCGGAACCAGAGGTGCCCCATGGACTCACTCACACACTGCAGGATGGTGGCGCCCTGATAACCCTCAGAAGGTCATGGACTCATCCACATGCTGCATGATGACAGCCCCTGATAACCCTCAAAGACATGGACTCATCCACATGCAACATGATGATGGTGTCCAAATTAGACGCACACCAGCGATGCCTGCTTTGTATCATTTCTGAAGCGTAAGCAGCACAGAGGCACCTGGGCATGGCCAGGAGCCCACCTGCGGCTTAGACACTGGTGCTGTGCCTGCCCGGCTCGGTCGATGGCACCCATGACTCTGGACATGAAAGGAAAGGTGGGTGGGTCCATGATTAGACCAATATGGTGTTTTAAAAAGTCAGCCACAAACCTGCTAAGGCGAGGGCACTGCACAGATTATTCAGTGGCTCTGATGCCCATCTTTCCCCTGCCCAGGCCTTGGGTAGGGGAGAAGGATCAGTCAAACCCCTTGGAGGCATTCAGGGGACTGGTCAGTCAGGGCTGTCCCTGCGAGTCCATGAAGCTCATGGTACAGGCCTGTGGGCCAGGATGCTGAGGCGGAGACATGAGATGCTCCTGCTGGGAAGGCCAGGTGGGTCTCAGGGGATCCCAGGTCCCAGGTCAAGCTTGCCTGAGCTTGACTGAGCAGGTAAGCTGGGTGCTGCAGAGGAGGTGGGGCCCTCTGTTCTTTCGGCAGCATGTCAGGGCCTCAAGGCCACCCCAGTTCCTGGGACAGTGTGTTTGAGGGCAGATGGCCCAGCCCCGCAGTCAGGGCTGTAGAGGTGGCCAGTGTCTCAGCATGAGAGGAGGAGCCAGGCCTAGAGTGGCTGGGTGGGCAGTGGGTGGAGAGGCTCATACCCTGCTGTCCCAGGTGGGTCCCATGCTGGTCATCAGTCACCTGCCTGGCCAGGTGTCACAGGGGAGCGCGCACCTCCTCCTCAACCAGAGCTGTGTGTGCAGCTCAGGCCTCTGCTCAATGCCAACCCCAGAGCCAGTGCCCACGGCTGCCTCCCTGGGCCTCACCTCATGCGCTTCCACTCCAGGGCCTGGAATTGCCCTTTCCTTCCTGATCTTCCTCACTATGATTTAATTTAGATGACTCATATTGTACCATGGGCACTTGGAATTTGGCTTCCTGAGGAAAGAATCCTGGCTTCTGCAACTCTGACACATCTCAGCCCTGGCAGGCCATGACTACGGAACCGTGGAATTCCGGAGCCCCCATGGACTGGGAAGCCGGGAGAGGGCTGTACTCACAGACGCCTCGCAAAGCCGATAGAAATCAACGCTCAGGTACGCTCTGATGCCGTCTATGGCTCCGGGGAGGGTGACCCCACGCAGCAGCAGGGCAGTGAGAACCACGTAAGGCATGGTGGCTGTGATCCATACCACCTGCAGGAGAGGACAGTGTCACCAGCTGCGCAGGCGGGGTCCTCGGTGGAAGCAGACACTGGCAGGAGAGCACAGGGCTGCCCTGACGGCTTGTCCTCTGACTGGGAGGCCCAATTCCCAAACATTTCCTGGGACGCCAGCTCAGCAAATGCTTACTGGAGTGAGAAGGTCAGACGCTTTCTGTCCTGCACGTCCTCCCTGGGGATGGAACGGGAAGAACAGCTCGGCAGGGAAAGCACATTCCTTTTCTGCATTTGCTCTGCCAGAGCAGCTGGGAGTGGCTGATGGGGATTTCTGATGTGTGGAATGTGAGTGGATTCGCACGGGGGAAGGACACCGTGGCACGATGAAGGGCAGCTCTGGGCTGCGTCGCTGCGGGAGGCTCCCACAGCTGGTGCCATACCACACGCACTATTCCAAGGGAGAGGCATGCCTTGATCAAAACTGGTTTGGGCCCACATAACACAGTTTTGTTATTTATTTATTTTTTTTTGAGATGGAGTTTCGCTCTTTCCCAGGCTGGAGTGCGATAGCATGATCTTGGCTCACTGCAACCTCTGCGTCCCGCATTCAAGCAATTCTCCTGCCTCAGTCTCCTGTGCAGCTGGGATTACAGGCACCCGCCACCACACTCGGCTAAACTTGTATTTTTAGTAGAGACACGGTTTCATCATGTTGACCGAGCTAGTGTTGAATTCCTGACCTCAGGTGATCTGCCCACCTTGGCCTCCCAAAATGTTTTTATCAACAAAAAATCATGCCTCTCAAAGTATCTTTATCAACAAAAAGTCACGTCGTGTGTGCCTTTCTGCCAGAAATACTGCTGCGGGTGCTTCCCTCCTGAGGCCCTTCCACAAACACAGACACATATGGACCCCAAACCCAACTGTGCCATGTGTCCACCGGCCCAGCCAGGACCACGTGTCCACCTCTCCCCACCCAGCCATGGCCATGTGTCCACCCAAGCCAACCCGCATGGTCACGGGTGTGACCCCAACCATGCCACATGTATACTCCCAACCTGATGACGTGGACACGTGGCCACATGTACACGCCCAACCTGATCACGGCCACGGCCATTTGGGTTTCCCCAAACTCAGCCTCGGCCACATGCCCACACCAACCTGGCCATGACAACATCTGTCGCACAAAACCCTACCAGGGCCACATGTGTACCCCCTGCCCAGCCATGGCCACATGTCCACTTGGTGGCCCCATGTCTATGGGCCTGGTTAGTGACCCTGAGCCTCACCTTCCCCGAGGTCTTCACGCCCTTCCAGAGGCTGAAGTAGAGCAGCACGATGACCAGCACCAGGCAGGCTGTGAGCTGCCACCGTGGAGGCCCCAGGTCGTCGATGCCATGGCTCTGGTGGAGGTGCAGCACACCACGCCTGCAGAGGGGAGTCAGCGGGGGGCTCTGGGGGGGCCTGTCACCCCACCTGTAACTGGACTGCTGAGCTTACCCAGCGACCTGCCCTCCCCAGCTCTGGAGAGCAAAAAGCATCCAGTCTGATAGACAAGAGATGCCCTCCAGGGAGGTCTGGCCCCAGGCCCTGGCAGAGGTGTCAGGCCTGCCCTGGAGATCATCAGAGCACACGGAGGCCCAGGAAGCCCCGCCCACCCTTTGCCCTTGACGCCCCTGCTCATTGGAGCTGAGGAGGGAAAGACCACCTTGGGTCTTTGAAGGAGCCACAGAAGCCGAAAGGAAGCTTCTGAGCAATGCTGGGCACCCGCTGCTGCCCAGAGATGGCCCTGGATCCCTCCGCAGGGATGAGGCTGAGCAGACTCTAGCAATAATGCCAGGCATGCAGATGCCAGCCAGCACTGTTTTCTGAGGGTGACGGCTCACACCTGCTCATACAGCCCCTGCTGCTTTGAGGATTCCACGATGAATAGACTCAGTGGGTGACTCAGCTCCAGCAGGAATCACTCATGTGAAGGATCCATACCTCACAAAGGGCAGAACAGAGGGTGAGGGATGGAGCTCACCGTCGGCCATGCTCCTTGCCCCAGGCACAGATCCTGGGCCCGCTTTCTGTGGGAACTCATTCCACCCTGTGACACTCTCTGCAGGAGAACACGCAGCAGGCCACGTGCAGTCGGCTGCATCACCATTGCAAACCGTGACTTGGGGCCAAGGCGACTGTAACAGCCGTGCTGCTGCCACCTTGGAGTTGGGATCCGCATGATGAGAGGAGCTCCCATGGCAAAGCCCAGCCAAGGGCAGCCTTGGAGAGCTTTCCACCAGCTGCAAGCCATTCCAGGGCCATGTTCCAGGAATTCGGCCCTTCAAACTCCAGAATCATAGCCAGACATCCTGGCAGCAGCAATAGGGAAGGCCCCACAAGCACTGAAAGGGCTGGGATCAGTTCTTCCATCTAACCCAGAGGGCGCCCAGGCACAGGCCCCAGGTTGGCCCCAGATGGCTGCACCACTGAAACCATCAGCGCTATCCTCTGCTCTTCTCCAAGGGCAAGCTGCTCAGTGTCGAGGCTGTCTGTCACCCACACAGTGCAGGGAAAGTTGCTGGAGCTGGTGGAGGTCGCACTTGACGTTCCCTGGGCAGTGGGGACTCCCGAGGCCTTCTTCTCACTCCCCCCACCACACACGGAGCTCTGCCCCTGCTGGCTAACTCCCCGTCACTCTGCTCCGTAGCCTGGCCTTACCACTGAGTGCCTGTGAGACCCTACAGCAACTTCGTGCAGCCCGGACCACGCCCACTAACTGCCGTGGTGTCTCTGACCCCAGCATGCCACCCACCCATGCCTCGGCAGTCTCAGTGCCTCGCACATACCAGCATGAATTACACACCAGACCAGACAGCACACCCTGTCCCCGTTCCCCGTGGGCCTGGAGAAAAGGCAACTCAGCCAATGACCATAATGGCTCAGGCCCTCCTCGACCTGAGTGGGAAGGCCTAGGGAAAGCTCACTGCCGCATCCGGGGCCTTCTCATGAGGCATGTCCACAGTACACACAGCAGGCTCAGCGCCAAACATGAAGTCACCTTCGGAAGCAGCACCTCCACATGCTGGGTCGACCCCCTTCTCGAGATTAGAAGGTCATTGTGCTGGCCAGGCACGGTGGCTCAAACCTGTAATCCCAGCACTTTGGGAGGCAGAGGTGGGCAGATCACAAGGTCAAGAGATCAAGACCATCCTGGCCAACATGGTGAAACCTCGTCTCTACTAAAAATACAAAAATTAGCTAAGTGTGTTGGCATGTGCCTGTAGTCCCAGCTACTCAGGAGGCTGAGGCAGGAGAATTGCTTGAACCTGGGAGGCAGAGGTTGCAGTGAGCCGAGATCCCACTACTGCACTCCAGCCTGGTGCCTGGCAACAGAGCGAGACTCTGTCTCAAAAAAAAAAAAAAAAAAAAAAAAGAAAAAGGAAAGAAGAAAGTCATTGTGCTTTGAGGTTATTTGAAGTCCCACAAACAATTTAGAGAACATGACACTCCTGAGTGCTGTCAGCCCAAGAAGAGGGGTCCCCACAGCTGACCACAGCCTGGTGCCCAGCCACACCAGGAGCAAGGGAAAGTGCGTGGCTCCCAGCATGTCCATGCTTCCGAGGGCTGGGTGGGCAGGACAATTGAAGGACGACTGGAAAGGGGCATGGGGCTCATGTGCAGGTGTTTCTGAAGCCATAAATAGTTGGGAGGACCAAAAAGCAGTGGCCCAGGACTTTCACCAGGTGTGGAAAAGGCACGACCTTTCCCACTTTCTGCTGAGCTCTTTTTCCTGGTGAATTCATGGCCACGAATCTTCAATCAGGTGACAGTGTAGCTGCTGGTGGTGATCCACGTATGCTCAGACCTCCCACGCATCATTGTGATGACCTCACAGCAGCCCTCTCACCCCGTTTTACCAAGAGGGAGCCAAGCCAGTGAGGGGGCAAAACAAGCTTCCAAAGGATAAAATTGTGCCAAAACACATCAACTTCCTATTAGAATAAACCTAACACTCTTTAAACAAAGACAACAAGAGCTAAATACCCATTAGTATAAAACTCACCATGTCTAGCACCTAATAAAAAATTACTAGACATGGCAAGAAGCAAGAAAGGTGATCCACAACCAGAGGAAATCAGTCCACAGCTACTTCATATCACATACAAAAATTGACCCAAAATGGATAAAAGAGCCAAATATAAGGGCTAAAATCATAAAACTCTTATAGAAGAACATAGGGTAAATCTTCATGGTCTTGGACTTGGGAATGGTTTCTTAGATATGACACAAAAGAAACAAAAGCTGAATCGGACTTCATTGAAATTTAAAACTTCTGTGCACTGAAGATGCTATACAGAACAGAAAAGAAAACTACAGAATGTAAATAAAAATTTGCAAATCATCTATCAATCTAATAAGAGACAAATATCCAAAATATGTAAAGATCTCCTAAAACTCAACAACAAAAAACCAGACAACCCAATCCCAAAATGGGCAAAGGACATGGATGGACATCGCTCCAAAGATGTTATACGAATGGCCAAAAAACACATGAAGAGATGTCCAAGGGTCACTAATCCTTAGGGAAATATAAATCAATACCGCAATGACAGACCACTTCACACCCATTGAGATGCCTATTGTCAAAATAAACTAGCAGAAAGTAAGTCTTGTCAAGGATGTAGGGAAATCGGAGCCCTTGTGCATCGCTGGTGGGAATATAAAACAATGCTTCCACTGTGGGAAACAGTGTGGTGGTTCCTCAAAAAATTAAGCACAGAATTATCACATGGCTCCAGCAATTCAACTTCTGAGTATCCAGCAGGTACTCAATATTGAAGTTCATAGCAGCATGTTTTTACGGTAGCCAAAAGGTGGATGCAATCCAAATGTGCATCAAAAGACAAATAGATCTGGCCAGGTGTGGTGGCTCATATTTGTAATTGCAGTGCTCTGGGAGGCTGAGTTGGGAGGATTACTTGAGCCCAAGAATTTAAGACAGGCCTGGGCAACATGGCAAGACCCCACTTTACAAAACATTTTTTAAATTAGTTGGATGTGATGTCACACAACTGTAGTCCCAGCCACTTGGGAGTCTGAGGCAAGAGGATTGCTTGAGCCCAGGAGGTCAAGGTTGCAGTGAGCTGTGATCGTACCACTACACACTCCAACCTGGACAACAGAGTGAGATAAATGGATAAACAAAACACAATATATCCATACAATGGAATTGGAATATTATTTGGCCTTTAAAAAGATGGAAATTCTGACACTAGGTTCTGAGATTCTTCAACAAACCTAGAAGACATATGCTAAGTGAAATAAGCCAGTCACAAAAAAATAAGTGATTCTACTCAGAGGAGGGACCTAGAGTAGTTAAATTCACAGAGACAGAAAGTAGAATGGTAGCTGCCGGGGCTGTGGTGAGGGAGAATGGGGACTTCATGTTTAATGGGGAGAAAATTTCAGCTTTGGAGGAGGAAGAAGTTCTGATGGATGATGGTGATGGTTGCACAACATGTGAACGTACCTAATGCCACTGAATGTCCACTTAAAAATGGTTAAGATGGGCCAGGCATGGTGGCTCACCCCTGCAATCCCAGAACTTTGGGAGGATGAGGTGGGGAGATCAGAAATTCAGGAGATGAAGACCATCCTGGCTAACATGGTGAAACCACATCTCTACTAAAAATACAAAAAATTAGCCAGGCATAGTGGTGCGCACCTTTAGTCCCAACTACTCAGGAGGCTGAGGCAGAAGAATCACTTGAATCTGGGAGGTGGAGATTGCAGTGAGCTGAGATGGCACCACTGCACTCCAGCTTGGGCAACAGAGTGAGCCTCTGTCTCAGAAAAAAAAATGGTGAAGATGGTAAGAAATGTTATGTATAGTTTATCACAATAACCCCCCAAGAAGGCAGAATACTTTTGTGTAAAGCCCAAGCTGAACCATTGCCAGCAAGTCTATGCTATAAGAAATGATAAAGGAAGTTCTTTAGATGGAAGGAAGATGGTCTCAAATGGAAACTTGGATTTACATACATGATTAGACAGCACAGGAGCTGATGGCTATGCAGGTAAATGTTTAAAATGTAAATGCTTAAAGCAGAAATAACAGCAATGTATCATGGAGTTGATAACATATTGTAGAAAAATTAAATCTATGACAACAATTACACACATTACTTGAGAGAAACAGAAGTCTGCTGTTACCGGCCCTTCCGTTCTATGAAATAGTATCATGTCGCTTGAAGGTATACTGTGATAAGTTAAAGGTCAATGTTGTAAACCCTATAAAATCCATGAAAAATGAAAACAAAAGCTATAGTTTATTAGCTAATAGTGTTGATAAAATGAAAGCCTAAAAAATTAGCTCAAAACAGGAAATAAATGGAGGAGACAAGAAACAAAGAAGAAATGGGGCACAATGAAAAACAAAGCCAGCCACGCTGACAGTTATTGAATGGAAACTCTGATTAAAACACAGAGATTGCCTTATTGAATAAAAAACACAACCAACTCTAAGGTGTTGGCAAGAAATTCACTTTATATATAATGACACATATGATTGAAAAATAAAAAGCTGGAAAAGATATATCACACAAACAGTAATCATAAGAAAGTTGTGGTGGCCATATTACTGTCAAAGCAGACTTCAGAATGAGAAATCTAACCAAGAAGGACAGTTCAAATGGTAAAGGGGTAACTTCAAAAACTAATAATAATAAACATGTATGCACTTCATAGCAGCTTCAGAATACATGAATGAAGCAAAAACTGGTAGAAGTGAAAAGAAATAGACAAATCTACAATAATAGTTGAGATTTCAATACCCCTTTCTCAGTAACTGATAGAGCAAGTAGACAGAAAATCAGTAAGGATGTAGAAAACCTGAACAACACAATGACCTAACATGACCTCTTCGACATTGGTGCAATGCTCACCCAAAGACAGCAGCATACATATTCCTTTTAGGTGCACGTGGAACCTTCACCGATGTAGACCATCTAGCAGGTCATAAACAAGTCTCAGTATACTTTGAAATATTAAAGATGCATAAGCATATCATCTTGCCAAAAGAGAATTAAATTAGAAATCAGTAACAAAAATATCTAGCAAACCTCTAAATATTTAAAATTAAACAACAAATTTCTAAGAATGTCCCATTAGTCAACTAGAAATCAAAAGAAAGATTAGGGAATACTTTGAACTGAAGGAAATGAAAACACAGCATACCAAACTTTGTGGGATGCAGCTAATGCAGTCCCTTCAAGGCAAATTTATAGCTTTAATTCATAACTTCATCATTTATATTAAGCAGTGCTGATGTGTATTTACAGAAGTTGGGAAACTGTGAACTGGTCAGTGTGATGTGATCCTGTGTTGGTGTTTGAACACCCACATGCACTTTCCTGGCTCAGACTTCACATTTCTCGAGTGGGTTTACAATGCCCTTTCACACTCTGAAGGTGACAGCAATGTACCTGTGGTTTCTCCTCTGAGACTAGTATCTTCTCATGCATATGCATTAGGAAGGCAGCTGGAGAAATGTCAGCCAGTGCAAGGAAGGAAACAGGTCCTGAGGGAGAAACCTGGGACTTTACAGAAAGGGCAACCCAGGGATAAACACTTTAAGGGTTTCACTGTTCTCAGATGAGTCACTGCAAATAAAGGTGATGCTTCTTGCTTGAGTCACTTGACAATAATCTCCAGGTTCTTGCTGGGAAGGCTTCCTTTCGTTTCTCTGGTGGAACCATTTCTGTCACCTCCCTCTGGTGGGTGGGCTGCTGCCAAGAAGGAAGCAGCAGCACAGGAAGGCTGGCTGGGACCTGGGGGCTGGGGGTGCCAGCATAGCATCTCCCGCCGGATATGTCTCATTTGCCAACCCTGAGGGACACTGGGTGCAGGAGCCAGCGCCGCACACGGCATTTGTGGCATACGGAGGAAGTGCCATCAACGGGGCAGCTTGGCAGTCTTTTCTGACTTAGAGCCCAGAAGACATGGCCAGCGGCTCACCCAGGTTTGATAGTTACTTCCTGAGGACCCGGAATAAAAACGCAGGATGAAACCCTTCCAGATCTGCTCCTGCTAACATCTTAGCCATCAAATGTCTGATGTGGCAACTTCGTACATTGTGTAGGAAACTCAGTCCCATTTGTGGTTACTGACAAAGCCAGATGTGCCCACTATCTAGGACAGAGAGCCGCACTGTCGTGCGTCATAGCCACTCTGGCCTTCGTGGCCTTTCACGGTGGGGCGTGCACTCCCTGATTACGTGTGCCAGTGGGAAACCCACATCCTTTGTCCAATGATCTGCTTTATAAAGTGGGTTCGAAATCCAGAAACCGCCTGCCGCCCCGCAGACCTGAGCATGTTACGACTGTCCTCCCTGCCCTCCAAGAGTCACTGGGGCCTGTTTCGGGGAAAACTCAGTTCTCTTCAGAGGGGGTGGGAGGGGCGCCAAACACCTCAGTGCCCTGGGTCATTAATCATTTGTGAATTCATCTTAAACCATCTCCAGCTTCCCACGTCTGCCCTAGAGCTGTGGCCAGCTAGAGTGTAGCACGTGCCAGTGTAGACAGGGCTTCCGAGGGAAGGGCTGGGCACCCTCCCGTTCCCTTCCTTCCTTCCGGACTGAGAACTTCCAAACAGACGTCACTAGTCTGACTGTTTGGAATAATAGCATGTGTTCTTTCCTTCCAGCGTTCTTAACAAATCACTGGGCTCACCATGACACTGAATTTTCCTCTCCAATTTTCTCTCCTGAACATCACCTAGATGAGTCAATGCTTCCAACACTGCCCAAACAAAAGGCAGCTGGTGCCCAAACAGTGGCGCTCGGCAGCTTTAGCAGGGCGTCGGACACTGGGGACTCGCAGGTCTCTCTCCGGGGCCCCCGTGGCCTCTGCCCTGGCTCCGTGCGCCCCCCCCCCACTCTCTCTCCTGCCGGCCCCTCTCTTTGATCACACGCCAGCCCTGAGAGCTGGCCACACAGCAGGAGCCCATGCAGCCCGGCCTGGTTCCTGCTCGTGGGTGTCTAATCAGGGAAAAGTAGGTGTGAACAGGCCACCCACATGCCATGGGAGTTTTCTCCCTCCAGACTGTTAAAATCTATTTGGACAAATGCTGTGACTGGACATTCTTTGGGCAACTTTATCATTCCCTGCTTGCCTGTCACCCACGAGAGTCCCGTCCAGACTCTCCCTCGACCCTGCTTGCGGCTACACTTCCCACGGTGAGGGTCACCCAGGTGTCTTTCAGGCAAACCAACTGGGACTCATCCCTGCGCATCTGCTCTCCCCACCTGCCCCGCCCTCCGAAACCAGCCCTCCTCCCATGAGCACCTTCCCAGCGCCGCAGCCCGGACGCTCCTCCTGCAGGGCATTTGGCGGGCCCCTCTCTCCCACTGTGGAACCATCTCCTGGGGGCTTGTCACTCTCATCCAACCCCAAACCACGAGAAAGGCGCACACGACACTCACCCTCACAACCCACAATCTTCCTTAGGCTCTAAGAAAAACGCCAGGTGGTCCCCCGAAACCTGCCTCCACCCCTGCTCCTCACGTCTGAAGCCAGCCCGGCGATACACTTCCATGCCCGAGGAGGAATTCTAGAACCAGCCACCTGGGTTCTGAATATCTGAATGCAGAGCAGTTTGAGAGACTGGACGCCCGGCCACTGAGAACTGGCCCGGTTCCGGCAGCTTCAGCCCTACTGTCTCCAAGCCACACCCTCCGGGACAGCTCCATCTCAACTGTCTCTGACAAGACCCCCAGGAGAGGGTGACCGTCCCTTCCCGCGGGAAAAGGCCTCAGTGATGTCTTCTGATAGGTTTTCAGATGTCACCATAGAAAGCACCGCTGGGAGGCTGTGCTCCCCGAAGTTTCCCTGGCAGACCAAGACCCAAGCTCTCGAGCATGATCCTGCCCCCAGCAGAGGTGAGGTGGGGGCTCCTCTGGTCACCTCCGCCTGGCTGCTCTTAGGACCTGACTTATACAAACGCAACGTGAGACGCTTCCCTTGCTTCCAGCTCACTATGTTCTGACTCAAAACAAGTTCTGCAAAGGCGCCTACTTGCTGTTAAAACCGGAATTATTCTTACTGGTCAAAGCTCCTTTCCCCACCCTGAAGGGGACCCATTTTTGCATATAAACATGGATAAGATGCGTCTAACTAGGCAAGGGAGCCCCCGGACAGAAGCGCCCTGGCTGACGAGAACAGCGGATGCGGCGGGAATCATGCAAACGTCCTCTCCTCCTCTCCCAGACGGCAGCTGAGTTGAAGCGTCCACCTGTCAGAACGGCGACCTGGCTTGAGGCCCCAAGTGTGGCTGGTGGGTGTGGGATGTGGATGGCACCTGCCAGGTCAGATTCCAGAAGGTGTCCAGAGGCAACAGGGGACCCATGGGGGCACTCACAGCCCTTCCAGGCTGGGCCAGGCCACGTGGTGACGAGGGAGGGCCAACAGGAGCTGGCACGGGGCACGAAAGGGCTTCATCGAAGACATCAGGGTCCAGGAGAGCGGTTGCTATGGAGGGATGGTGAGGGGCGGGTCTGGCCAGGGTGGACTGTGAGGTTTGGGCCTGGCCAGGGTGGATGGTGAGGGGCAGGCCAGGCCAAGGTGAACTGTGTGGGTCGGGCCTGGCTGGGGTGGATGGTATGAGACGGGCCTGGCCAGGGTGGGCTGTGCATGTTGGGCCTGGCTGGGGCACAGGGAAGAGGAGACGGAGACCTGGGGACTGCTGGGCATGAGCTGCGCCGGAGCGGGAGGCGGAAGGAGACAGAAATAAAGCTGTGCACGTAAACGATGAAAGTCTCACAAAAAGCGGACAGCTGGGACTCCCTGGAGACAGGGGCTGCCTACTGAAGCCAGAGACTTCTGCTCAGTGATGCCCAGAAAGCCATCTTTTCTGGGGAGGGCAGGGGCCCGAGGGAGGCAGCTCAGCCCTAGGCTCTGCGCAGAGGACGGGCAGGGAAGAGGGGAGCCGGGACACCGGGCTGACTCGGTCCAGAGACGAGGGCAGGGAGGAGTGGAGCCGGGACACCGGGCTGACTCCGTCCAGAGACGCCGCTACAGCTCCCAGAGACCAGAGCTCGCCCGCCTTCCACACGGGGGCTGCTGTATTCCCCACCAGCCGCTTCCGCCCCAAGCGGCAGCTGGGAGCAGGAGCGTAGGCAGGGGAGCCCTCAGTGCCCTGTCCCTGCGGAGGGCTCGCTCTATGGGAGCTTTGCTGAGCTCCTGGAGACCACCAACGTGATTCAGCAATGTGCCCCTCCAGAGCACTAAAGGAGGGAGTGCAGGAAGAGGCCCCTCCATGCATCCCGGGGGGCAGCAAAGCCAGGTGGCCAAGCAAGGGGCTGCCATGGGGGACCCGGCTGCGTGGTCTCTCCTGTTCCCGAGGACCTGACTCCCACTTACTCGAAGTACTCGGCTGCAGGCGTGGTCCCAAAGGTGTCGTTGAGGCCCGAGCTGTCGCCACTGGAGTCGCCAGGGTGGGCGTCTGAGCAGTTGGGGCTGTTCCAGGAGTTGTTGCAGTGGGTCCACGGGAGCTCCGTGGTGAAGGACGAGAAGAGATAGTGCAGCGCCCAGGCGATGATGACGTTGTAAAAGAAGCCGACGTACAGCGAGATGAGGATGACCGTGAAGCCCACGCCTGGCGGGAAGGGGGTGACGGTGAAGCCCACACATGGAGGGGAGGGGGTGATGGTGGAGCCCACACATGGAGGGGAGGGGGTGACGGTGGAGCCCACACATGGAGGGGAGGGGGTGACGGTGGAGCCCACACATGGCGGGGAGGGGGTGACGGTGGAGCTCACACATGGAGGGGAGGGGGTGATGATGGAGCCCACGCCTGGTGGGAAGGGGGTGACGGTGGAGCCCACACATGGAGGAAATGGGTGATGGGTGAGCCCACACCTGGCGGGAAGGGGGTAATATTGACTCCAGGCCTGGAGGGAAGGGGGTGACTGTGGAACCCACGCAGGTGGTGAACAGAGCCACCATGGAAGTCCCTTCTACTGCCCCTCGCAGGAGACGTCACCCTGAGCCTGCAGCTCCTGGACAGCCCTGGTGCTAGGCAGCATCTTCAAACACGCAGGGGAAGGCCAGTGAAAGGCCTGAGGCCAGACCTCATGCTGTGACCACAGAAAAGAAGCTGCCCACCCCCTAAAACCATGCACTTCTGCACAGGGACTTTCAGGGTATCTCTGAGGGGCATCCAGGGCTATGGTGGGTGTCCAGGGCCACCCTCACACACCCAGAGACCCCCAGGGTCACTGTCACTCGCACCATACATAGTTATCCATCACCCCAGCCACTCAGGATCCACAGGGTCATCTAGGAGCACTGAGGCCATCTGGGGGCTACTCTGGGTGACCCAGGGCAACCAGGTCCATGTGTAACCATCAGAACCATCCATGGCCACCCAGAAGCACCCAGGGCTACTAGGGAACCCATGCAAATAGGGCCATCAAAGGTCACCTAGGGTTACCCAAGTACACCCAGTGTCTCATGGAACCATCAAGACTGCCGTGGTCACTAAGGGACAACTGGCGTCCTTGACAGCCATCCATACCCACCCAGGCTCATTCAGGACTCTGGAGGGCACCCAGGACCACATATGATCACTCATGCTAATCCAGGGCCACTTGGAGCCACAGAGGGTATCCACGGCCATCCACAGCCATCTATGTCCATCCACAGCCAGCTCCATTCATCCACATCATTCATGGCCATCCATGGCCATCCACAACCACCCACATCCACCCCTGGCCATCCCCAACAATCTGCCACCATTCACAACCATCCACAGCCATCCGTGGCCATGCATGCCATCCACAACCATCCATGGCTATCAACAGCCATCTGCATTTATCCACAACTGTCCGCAGCCAGCCATAGCCACCCACAGCCAGCCATGGCCACCCAGGGCCATCCACAGCCACCCAGGGCCATCCACAGCCACCCATAACCACCCACAGCCACCCATGGACACCCAGGGCCATCCATAGCCACCCATAACCACCCACAGCCACCCATGGACACCCAGGGCCATCCATAGCCACCCATAACCACCCACAGCCACCCATGGACACCCAGGGCCATCCATAGCCATCTATGGCCATCTGTGGCCATCTATAGCTACACATGCCTCTCCTCAAAGACTACCCAGAAGAATCAACTGGGACCATTTACAGCTACGTGGAGGCATCCAAGTTCCCACCACCCATACACGACGACCATCCAGGGTTTCCTAGAATCACTCAGGGCCACAGAAGATCACCAAGGTCCACCCAGGGCAGGTAAGATCATCCAGGGCTTCCTTGGACCACCCAGAGCCTTGCATGACTATGAAGGACTGTGCGGAGCCATGTTTGACCTTCCACGGTCTCCCAGGATCATGCAAGACCATCCACAGCCATCCGTGGCCATCCAATGCCACACAGAGTCTTTTCGAGTGCCCTTTCCAGGACCACAGACCTAGAATTTGGGACCCATCATTTAGGGGCCCCTGGTAAACTGGAACAGAACTCATTGGTCAGCAGTCTTGGGAGCGGCGTCAGCCTGACTGGTGGGCAGATGGCCTCCTCCTCGTTCCTGGCTGGATGGGCACCATCACGTTCTTGCCACTGCGGTTGACTTCACTAAGCTCCAGGAAGAATTCTTTTCATTCTCACATTCCTTCTGAATTTGCTGACATGATTAGTTTGGGCTCCAACTTTGAGTGACTTTATGGAAACCCAGGAGGCGCCATGCCATCTTGCCTGCTCGTGGCCAGGGTAGGAGCGTGCCTTCAAGGTGACTTTCAGGGAGTGGCCTAGTTGCTTTTATGATCTCAGTTCCTAAGAGAAGCTGTTCTTATGCTCAGGGCACCTCAGTAAAGTTCTCTTCCTACCCTGAAAGCAAAAGAAAGGCTCCAAACTTTGTCTTAAATAGATCCAGGACCAGAGCGCATACCATCTCTCTTGGAAAACGTGCTCAGTAGTGGCGATGGAAAAAGCCAAGCTGTTGCCTTTAGAAGCCCCTCTCCCACACGGAACTGGTCCATATTAAATGATTCTGTATCACAGTGTATATTACGAGTCCCTTAGGAGAGAAGCTGGGTTGTGCTTCATAGGCACTCACCCAGATGGCCACACTGGGAGCCACGTTGTAAGAAGCCACATTGTTTCCAGAGAGCACTGTTGGGGATTTTCCGTGGTGGCAACTGACAGTGGACGCCCAATTTGAAAAACACTTTCAAAGTTAAAACTTTGTGTACAAGTCCTTAGCTTGAAACCCTGGGAAGCCTTTGATCAAACACCAGGGTGGATCCCAATTCAGAGTCCGAAGGAAGGGCTGGCTGTGCCTCGCGCCCTTCCGGAGCCACCACTGTTGGTTTCCTACCCTGTACCCCAGATTGGCAGGGTCACCATGGGCTCACGACATCACCACGGCCACGGCACATGACATCACCATTGGCCACACTGGCTGGCTGACATGGCTCATGACATCACCACTGTCCACACTGGCTGACATGGCTCCCAGAGCAAATGGGCCCACTCTGGTCCATGGGAGAGTGTGCCCCCACACCGAGTCCCCCTTACCAGGAGGACCCCTCCTGGATGCTTCCCCAGGCAACTGGGTGAGGAAACGGCTCCCTTGGAAGGTGGTGGCCAGTGTCAGCACTAGCTGGGCATTTGGTGGCTCCAAGCCCTGCTGTTTGAGAAGGCAGAACCCCTGCCCCGGGCACTGACACGTAGCCCCTCACCAACCAGCCAACTTCACCACAAGCTCCTCAAGCCCACTGAAGGCCCGGACACACAAAACCCGCTCCCCTGTTTGCTAAACAACCTTCTGGTGGTCTCTGCTCATGACATCACTGTGGGCTCTAGATGAAGCTTCACCTGACACATTTCTTAAACACCATTTAGTGACACAGGAGGCTTTCTCCCCAGGCAGGTGGCAGGCGTGTTTCCAGGGAAAACGGTCATGAGAACGTGACGCTTCCCTTCCCTTCTGTCTGACGCCCGGCAAGCTCAGCGCTAAGCGTGAATTTCAAGCATAGCTCTTAAGGTCAATTTCCTTAAATTTATTTTATGCTTAGTACCTTTTATATTATCCTTGCGTGCATTTTGTTTTCTGTTTGAGAAATCACACTAAATTATGATTGACTATTAAATATCTCATATTCGGTACAATCGAATGGTGGGGTTTCCAGGGCATCTGTAATATGCGGTTGCCTTTGGCAATGAAATGGAAATCTGACAAACAGAAGCCGGCTGAGGGTCCTGCCTGCGATTGGTACTTAGCCCACTGAAGTACGGCCGCCTTGCACCAGCCCTGAACACCAACATACCCCCTGGCGCCCACAAGAGCTGGCTTCAGGAGAGGGTGTTGTCAACACATGCACGGATCCCACAGGAGGAAGCCTCTGGTGGAGCAGCCCCTCCACACCTCGCCGGAAGCATCCAGGTGGCCCTCAGAAGAAAGACAGGAGAGGACACCTCCCTGTCAGTCTGGGTCTCTAATATCTGCTTGCTGTGTGTGCACGAACCAGAGAGACAGAGAGGAGGAGAGACAGAACCGGAGAGACACAGAGGGAGGAAAGGGGGGAGAGACAGAGACACAGAGGGAGGAAAGGGGGGAGAGACAGAGACACAGAGGGAGGAAAGGGGGGAGAGACAGAGAGACAGAGGGAGGAAAGGGGGGAGAGACAGAGAGAGGAAAGGGGGGAGAGACAGAGACAAAGAGGGAGGAAAGGGGGGAGAGACAGAGAGACAGAGGGAGGAAAGGGGGGAGAGACAGAGAGACAGAGGGAGGAAAGGGGGGAGAGACAGAGAGACAGAGGGAGGAAAGGGGGGAGAGACAGAGAGACAGAGGGAGGAAAGGGGGGAGAGACAGAGAGACAGAGGGAGGAAAGGGGGGAGAGACAGAGAGACAGAGGGAGGAAAGGGGGGAGAGACAGAGAGACAGAGGGAGGAAAGGCGGGAGAGACAGAGAGACAGAGGGAGGAAAGGGGGGAGAGACAGAGAGACAGAGGGAGGAAAGGGGGGAGAGACAGAGAGACAGAGGGAGGAAAGGCGGGAGAGACAGAGAGACAGAGGGAGGAAAGGGGGGAGAGACAGAGACGCAGAGGGAGGAAAGGGGGGAGAGACAGAGACACAGAGGGAGGAAAGGGGGGAGAGACAGAGAGACAGAGGGAGGAAAGGGGGGAGAGACAGAGAGAGGAAAGGGGGGAGAGACAGAGACAAAGAGGGAGGAAAGGGGGGAGAGACAGAGAGACAGAGGGAGGAAAGGGGGGAGAGACAGAGAGACAGAGGGAGGAAAGGGGGGAGAGACAGAGATGCAGAGGGAGGAAAGGGGGGAGAGACAGAGAGACAGAGAGAGGAAAGGGGGGAGAGACAGAGACACAGAGGGAGGAAAGGGGGGAGAGACAGAGACACAGAGGGAGGAAAGGGGGGAGAGACAGAGAGACAGAGGGAGCGGGAAAGAGAAAGTGAGGGGCAGGGAGGAGAGGGAGAGTTTTAAAGACCACCTCTCGGGACCCTGGGGTGCACTGGGGCTGATGGCCCCGAGGCCCCGCTGGCTGCAGTGCCCACCCCTCAAGCGGCTCGGGGAGACTCCGGGAAACACAGGCGAGTCCTGGCGTCTGAGCAGCTGGGCCTCGCCGTGAACTCCACCCGCTGGCTTTTGAGTTGGATCTTGGTTCCCAGTTAGGAGCAGAAAGCAGCTCCCAGGTCTGCGGAAGGGAAGGGCTGGGGAGAAGGAGGCTCCAGGCAGAGCTGGGCTTCATTTCCCCTGTGGACTTGCCACCTGCTCAGGGGCGCTTGGCCTTTTAGCTTCATAATGATTATTTTGGGCACTTCAGCTGATGTCTTAATTTACCACGTGGCGCTTCTATTTAATGGCACATGAAAATGCATGTATTTTTATGAACTAACTTTATAAGGGACAAAGGAGAGAAGGCACACGTATCAGGGTGCTGGGGAAGCATGGCGCACACCGTTTGGCGAGCAGTCTCAATCTCCCCTAAACCGGCACCCCGCGGTTGACAGGCAGGCAGAACAAACCGGACGCCGGCCTGGGACCTGCAGCATTGCTGAGATTAAACCATTCAAGGTGTGGCTTCTCTAAAGAAGTCCAGCTTTCATGCATCGACTCACCCATCCCTTCACGGCTCCAACAGTTCCCTTTCTGTGGTTTGTGATTTTCCTTCCTCACCAGGTATGAGGTGGGCGTGAACTGGCTCTGCCCGAGATCTGCCCTCGGGGCCACGAGCCTTTCTTCCTGCGGCCACGCTTCCCAGACATCCTCGCGGACTGGCCTTCAGAATGAAGCCCACATGGCATGCGGGATGGTGGGCACATGTGCTGTGCCACAGAGGCGGTGACTGCCCAGCTTCCCCAGGCGGCGCGTTGTGGGGAGGGCAACGAGATGCTGCAGCCGCCAGCTACGTTTCTCCAGAATGAGGTGCCACTGCTCACACCTATGGAAGTCAGAGGCTCCCTATTAGCCCAAGTCCCGTTGGTTACCACCACAGGGTGCTCTGAAACTCTTAGAAATAGCTTCTTGACGTCTTGTCAACTGCATCGTGAAGACCCACGCTGGGAGCTTTGTGGGTGAACCTCCTTTCCGTGTACGGACAGAAGGAAATCAGCTCCTATCCGCTGACCCTCAGGCCCCTTTTCTTCCTGCGCTTCTCACCCGAATCCTGCATGTGAAGAGGTGGCTTAACTCGCCCCAGCACCAGGCTCACTGGCAGGAGTGGGGTGCAGGGCTGTGGGTGTACACACTCACGACAGACTCCAGGGTAGCTCTGGAACATCCGGCAAAGCAGTTCGACGTCGCCCCAGCCCGTGCCAGAGCCTGAGGTCGGCGTTCCGCGCTGTTTCCCTCCCCCTACTGGGCTGGCCTCCTCCCTGATTCAGCGTCCCAAGGCTCTAGGCACTCGGGTGCCCTCCTCCATGGACATGGTGCAGGCTCAGCGTCGCTCACGACTGCAGATTCAGGCAGCATCTCCTCCCTGAAATGTGTCTGCGCTGCCGGCCAGGGCCGGGGGGACACAGGCAACACATGTGCCTCTTGAACCGTTAGCCTGGTTCACTGTGATGCCCAATTTGACCTGCGCACCTGCCTGTCTGGAAGGAGGCTCCTGGGTCTTCCGTTGGCTGCTGCACTCCTCCACCGTTCCCGGCAATTCTGTTGCGGTGTGACCTCTCCCTGCTGATCCTGCCGAGGGGCCGTCTGGCCAGGTGTGTGCCCCCAGCATCTGTCTTTCACTCTGAAGATGTGTGCAGGGTGGGTGTGGGGAGAGAGTCCTCTTTTTATGGCTCCATTTCAGTGTGGTTCAGTGAATATGGAGCCTAGGAAGAAATGACTGACGTCTTAAGGTTCACTGTGCAGCCCACTAGGAATGAATGTGTCTCGTGCCTGGGAAAAGCCATCACGCCTGGCCAGTCTCAGCATCTCCATGGCTGCGAAGATGCCTTCCCCTCCCAGAGCCCAACCTCAGCAGCTGTGAAATGCCACCTGTTCCCTCTCCTAAGGTGGGTCAGCAGCTCGCCTCTGAAGGTCCACCCTGACCCACTGGTAACACGTCTTGGGATGGTGCTGGGGCCTGGCTGTCTTCTAAACACACCAGCGTATCCAGAACTTCTGTGAGTATCCAGAGACTGACCTTCCAGTAGTCATTTTCTTAATGCCAATTTTCTGAGTGGTGCCTCTGAGGAAATGCCCGAATCCTCCCTGAACCACCAGCTCCCAAGAGGTGGCTGTGCCATGGGGCAAGCGTGATCTGCGTGCATGGACTGGGGAGTCAGAAACACCTGGGATGAAATCCCACTCTTCTCATGGGGAGACCAGGGGGAATGACCCCAGCCCTCTGGTCCTCAGCACCTGCATCTCCAACACAGAGACATAGTGCGTGCCCTTCCAAGGGTCTCATGAGGATGGAGTCAGAAACGCTGGGAGAGGGCCTGGTGCTGGGCAGGCCACCTGTGCTCAACACGAGGTGTGTCCACTTCATGGTGCCAGAGCAGGGCACCAACAGCCGGAAAGGCTCAGTGACAACTAGATGGATCAGTAACTAATAGACAGACGGACAGGTCGATAGGTGGATGGATGGATGGATAGATGGATGAATGGATAGATCAATAGATAGAAGGTAGGTGGATGGATGGATGGATGGATGGAGCCATAGATAGATGAATGGATGAATGGATGGATGGATAGATAAATTGGTAGGTGGAGTGATGGATCAATAGATAATGGCTGGACAGATTGATGGATGATGGATCCATAGATGAATGGATGGATGGATGGATGGGTGGGTGGATGGATAGATTGATAGGGGGACGGATCAATAGATAATAGATGAATGGGTAGATGACAGGTGAATAGATGATTGACAGATGATAGAGTTATGAATTGTGTCCATCCCCCAAATTCATCTGTTGAAGTTCTAACCCCTCAAACCTCAGAATGTGACCTTATTTAGAGACAAGGTCTCTATGGAGGTAATCAAGTTGAAGTGAGGTCATTAGGGTGGGCCCTAATCCAACAGGACTTGTGACCTCATAGAAAGGGGGAGTTTGGTTGCAGAGCTATGTGTAGGAGGAAGCGGCATGAACAGGCACAGGGAGAAGACAGTCTCTAAGCCAAGGAGAGAGGCTAGAACAGATGCTTTCACACAGCGTCAGAAGAAATCAATCCACTGACACCTTGACCGTGGACTTCCAGGCTCCAGAACTGTGAGACTATAAATGTGTGCCGTTTAAGCCACCCAGTGCGTGTCATTTTTTACGGCAGCCACAGGAAACTCACACTGACAGATGATGATGACAGATGGTTGGATAGGCAGGTGGGTAGACGGGTAGGTAGACTGATGGGTGAATGATTGATATAAAGATCGATAATAATGATAACATAGATGATGGAAGGATGATAGATGATTTGATGAATGGATGGATGGATAATGGATCGATTGCGGATCTATAGATAGACGTGTGTTTTATCTTAACTACATTTTAACATCTTGGCAAAGTAACACCATGAATGAATTGCAGGATAGCCTCACCTAGAAGCAAGGGAATGAACTCTCAAGTCCTTGTCATCACAGGTCTTTAAAGTGGGACCCAAGTTCAAGTGGCATGTGCCACGCCTGTGTCTTAGCAAAGCAGGGCAGCATGCCCATGATGGGGCTGGCTGGCTTTGAAAGCTCCAGCGCCATCCCCAGAGTCTGCGCTGCGCCAGGGTGAAGGGAGGTGCCGGCATGTTACCTTTCAGTACGGGGCAGATCTTCCAGACACCAGCAGCCCCTTCCCTGTTGAACTGGCCAAGGGCCAGCTCCATGTAGAAAAGTGGCATCCCAGCGATGACCATGAAGAGCAGGTAGGGGACCAAGAAGGCACCTGTGGGGCAGAACAGCACCTAGAGTTTGGGGCCTTGGAAGGGCCCGTCTCTCCTCATGGAAGCTCAGGCTTCCACCCCCGCCAACCCCCCGTGTCCTGGCCTGACCCTTTCACCCCACTCTCCAACGGGAAGCCCCAGGCTGGGGCCGACGAGTCCCCAAGCCCGTCCTGCATGGCTGTCAGTGCCTGACACACTCCTCCTGGATCCCCTCAGCATTGTGTACCCCGAGCTGTGAAGTCAAACCCAGGAGCGCTGCAGGGAGGCCCTGCCGGTGCTCGGCGCTGCTCTGGATACTGTGCTTCCCCGAGGTTGCTCGGGTGCCCTTCCCTGGCCTGCGTCCCCCGCCTTTGCCCTGATCCTCTTTACCTCTTGCGTTGTGAATCTGTGACCCCCACTCTGCCCCTGAGCTGAGTGGGCCCTGCAGTCCTGTCCCGGGTTCCGGGGCCCCCATTGCCCAGTGGCTGAGGGGCTTTGCTGCCTCAGGTGTTGGAAGCCCCTCCAGGGTAGGGTCTAGTTCCTTTGAAACCTGCACCTCCCCAACCCCAGCACAAAGTCCGGGGCCCCCTAGTCTCGGCCTCCTAGATCCTCTCTGCTCCCCTGGTCTGACCTGAGTGAGGGAAAGCTTACCACTCTCTCTCCTGGGGAAGGGGACGGGGAGGCATGGGTCCCTCAGCTCTGTCTTTGGGCAACTTCTTGGACCTGCTGAGGCCTCTACCTTCCCCTTTTCTAGGTGGGCATAAAAATGCCAACTTCCTCACGGGCATTCAGTGAGGCCTCCCCCCAAATTCTTTCCCAGGCCTCCCTTCTCAGACCTGCCATAGAGGCCAACCAGGGAGGCCAACCAGGGAGGTCCAAAGAGGCTCCTGGGAAGGGACCACCAATGTCCTTGGACTTCCCAGGTGGCCCTGCCTCGATCTTAGCCTCTGACTCTGTGGCCGGGTTCTGGAGGGCGCAGGGGTCACAGGCACGCTCCCGGGGCCTCCTCTGCCACTCCAGGTTCCAGGGCCTCCACACACTTTGCAAAGGCTGCCAAAGTCGGCCAGAGGCTGTTCTTTGGGTCTTCGAGAATTTTCTTGCCAAAGTGAAATAGGCTCTGGAAATAGGAGGCAGAGCCAGGCTGCTCCGTCCACCGCCCTACCCCCAACCCCAGCTTCTTCGAGTGCCTCCCTTTCCTGACCTCTGAAATGCCCGCACAGGGCCAGGCAGCTCTAAGCCCTGCTCTGTGGTTCTGTGACATCCTCCGGGACAATCTGCCCCCACTGCAAGCTCTCACCAGGAGCCCCGTCTTCATGCATGAGAACAGCTTTATCTCGTCCAGGTTGTGCCTTGCCCCAAAGCCCTGCTCAGCTGCCCCATGGCCCCCTGCCTGGCCAGCGTGCCCAAGAAGGCTGAGATGGGACTTACCCCCGCCGTTTTTGTAGCACAGGTAGGGGAACCGCCAGACGTTGGCCAGGTCCACCGCGAAGCCAATGACGGAGAGGAGAAAGTCAATCTTCTTGCCCCAGGTCTCCCGATCCTGGGCCTCCACGGGGCTCTGCTGGTTGGTGAGGGTGGAGCTGGTGAGCTGCACCCCGTTCTGCTCCTTGACGAGGATGAGCTCCACTTCCTTCGGGCCCATGGCGTTGGGCTCCTTAGCCGGGGCCACCACGGAAGACATGAGTCCCACAGAGCATTTGCTCTTACTCATGGGCACACCTGGAATCGAGGAATTCTGTGCCTCTTGTTGCTTGGTCTTCAGCCACTATGAAAAACAAACACACAGAGGAATGCAGCATTCAGCCGCCAGGGCTAGGGGTATGCCTGGTGTGGAGGGCAGAGCCCCAAGGCATTCACTGGCTTTCCTCTGGGAAGGGACAGGTGCATTCCCAGTGCCTGAGACGGCACAGCTGGGGCGCAGAAGCTGGGAGGTGCAGCTCTCACCACAGGGCTGGGGCACAGCCCATGGAGGCCCCGAGACAGACTCTCTGGTTTGCCCTCCGTCCCCGGCACCCTCCTCACTCCTACCAAAGCGCGATGCTGTGTAAGCTCGAGCGCGGCTTTCTAATATCAATAGATGGATATTACCTCTGCCTCCCCCCACACTTCCAGAGAGCAATTTTATAATCTTCAAAAAGCATTCAATAACGTTTTTATGACTGTTCATCTGTATTTTTTTCTTTCTTTTTTTTTTTTAATGAGATGAAGTCTTGCTCTGTCACCCAGGCTGAAGCATAGCAGTGTGATTACAACTCACTGCAATCTCAAACTCCTGGGTTCAAGCGATCCTTGCCCCTCAGCCTCCTGAGTAGCTGGGACTACAGGTGTGCACCACAGCGCTGGCTAAGTTTCTTTTTGTGTAATTTTTGGTAGCAACAGGGTCTGACTATGTTGCCCAGGCTGGTCTTGAACTCCTGGCCTCAAGCGATCCCTGCCTCAGCTTCCCAAAGTGCTGAGATTACAGGCATGAGCCATCAAGCCTGGCCTGATATTGTTTATACTCAGTAATAAAGAGAAAAATTTATATAGCCAAAGTTGGCCACTGTAAAGAATTTAAACAGAACCATCACAACTGTTTCCTCAAAGAGTGCCTGTGCAAGCCACATCCACCCATGTCGGGTGGCACCACCCCATCTGAGAGACCCGGGCAGAGGGTGGACATGGCTTCACTGCAGAGACCAGCTCCTGGGCCAGCAGGGCAACCTGAGAAATCCTTTCCAAACGGCTCCATAAAGTCCCCAGCAACAACACAGCGCAGGAGAGCCCCAGCCAGGGCCACTTCTGGCATTTGGATCCAGCAGCAGGTTTCAATCACGCACGTGCAGACACACACACTCACACTCACAGGCGTGTGCACGCACACACCCACAGACGCATACACATACACAGGCGCGTGCACACACACACAGGTGTGTGCATACACTCACAGACGCATGCACACACACAGGCGGGTGCACACACACAATGTGTGCACACACAGATGCATGCACACACACAGGCACATGCATATACACACACAGGCGACCACACAAGCACGCACACACACACTCATACACAGGCGTGCACTCACACGCACGTGCACACACGCAGGCGACCACACACACAGGCACACGCACACACATACACAGGGGTGCAGTCACGCACGCACGCGCACCCACTCAGGGGCATACGCACTCACACACAGGCGCACACGCACTCACACACAATAAAGCTGGACGTAGGTGGCAGCTCTAACGGGCCACTTTCCGCTGCATCCAAGTTTGCACAACACTCGCCCATGAGTTACGTCACGCACCGCTACTGGGTGGATTCTTCAGTTCTCGGTGACAACCCTCACCCCGCCCGACCCTTCCCCACTCGCACGACCCCCGCGCTGGGTTCCGCGGCGAGAGCTAGAGCCGTGCTAGGAGAGGGCGCTGGGTGCGAAGCTCGTGAGTCTGCGACCTCCCTGCTCTGCCGCCTGCCCGGGAAGCGGCCGCGGCCCTGGGGCCACTGACGCCACTCCCGAGCACCGGGCCTCGGAGGCGAGGTTCGGGTCCACGCAGCAAACCGTGGCCTGTTAGGACGCGACCTTCCCCGCCACGCCCAGAACAAGAAGCCGCGCTGCCTGCAGAGCCCTCGCCCGGCCTCCCCGCACTGCCCGGAGCACCCGCGGCCGCCCGCGCCCCCAAATCAGACACAGCCCCCGCGGGACGGAGCGGCGGGGAAAACCCACTCTGGTCGGATCTGGGGTGCGCCGCGGCCCCAGTGGGGTTAAGTTCCACAAGAAGAAACCGGGTCCCCCAAGCCACAGCCACAGGCATCCACGCGGCCCCCACACCAGTGGCGCCCACGCTGTCCTGAACCCTGCGCCCCTCCGTGCACACCTCCGTCGGCCTCAGAGGCCCACACGGCGCTACTGGGAGCGCTCGGCACCACGACTGTTGGCGACTTTGAAGACCGCGCGCGGTCTGAGGGACGCGGGGACCCCAGACGGCGCCCGGCCCCCCGAACCCGCCTCCCAGCCCCTGCATCCGACATCGTGGTCTGCGGCGGGAGCGGCGCGCCGGGAGGATGCGCTGGGGACGCCAGTGCCGGGAGCCGCCCCGGCCTCACCTGGCCTCCCGGGCTTCGGCTGCTGCGCGCAAGTCCTGGCCGCGAACGTCCGCGAAGCCTCCCCTCCCGCTCCGCTGCGCTGGGCGGTCTCGGCTCGGCCTCGGGCTCTTATCCTGTCGCCGGGGTCCGCCCCGCCCCGCCCCTCCCGCGGCCGGGGTCGCCCCGGCGTCCTGGCTCCGCCTCCGCACCTCCCCGAGCCGCGCCCCCGTCCCCCGCCCCCCGGGCGCGGACGGCTCAGAACAGGCGGCGGCCACTGCTCCACAGCCAGCGCGGTCCTGCGCGCCCCGGGGCCCAGACACCGGGTGCGGGGGCCTGTGGGTCCGGAGCGGCGCGGGTCTAGACGGACGCCTTTCTTGCGAGAACCGTCCGGGTCGCCCCCGCCCTCGCCCGCACCCCTCCGCGCTGCCCCGCGTACCCGCTGCCTTCGGGACGGGGCAGGAGCCGGGCGGCGGCGCGCGCAGAACTGCGGGGACCCGGCTGGGCCGACCCTTCCCTCCCTCCCCGTCCGGGCGCCCCTGAGGCCACCTCGCGCTCCCGGGACCACCTCCCTCCCACCCGCCGCTCCACGCGGGGGCCCGGGTTCCGGTCCTGACCAGCTGGGAACCCCGCTTCGCGGCGTGCAGGTTGCGGCAACGCGGGTCCGTCCGTGGCCGTGGGGGCTCCGCGACCTCCAGGACACCAGCCGAGCCTCGCCGCCTCTGGCCGGCATCGGAACCGCTGGGCTCGAACCGCACTCGCGTGGGAAACCATGCCCGGTGCGGGCCTGGAAAGCCCTGGCGTCCGACACCCAACTCCGCGCCGAATGGACTCCGAGGCTTCCCCTCCGAGACGTCCGGGCAGGATTTCTAACATTCAGCGCGCCGAGGAAGGGTGCAGCCCCAGGCCGCCAGGCGCAGGACGTCCAGGTCCTTAGACGGCACCGAGGTGAGTGGCCGCGCCCAGCTCTGCACGTCGCCCCCCGGGGTCACCCAAACTCTGGCGATCCTGCCCCTGCGTGACACCCTGCCGTGGGCGTCCAGGCGAGCCGGGGGGCTCCCCAGCCAACCCCCACCCACAGCCGTGCTCAGCAGTGGGGGAGGCAGCGCCCCTTGGTGTCCCAGCCCCTGCTGCGCCCCGCACTCCCCGTACCCCTCATTCTGGGCTGGCTCCCAGGCAGAAGGCACCCGGGCTGCGCCTCCTGGATGAGTTGGAATCAAGCAGGAACCTGGGGTCTCCCTGGGGCTGCTATGACAAAATCCCGGCAGCCTGGGGCTCAGGGAAGCCGTTAGTTTTCACAGTTCCACAGCCTGGGGGCCAAGGCCGAGGCTAGGCCTGGCGGACTCTGTGTCCCGTGAGGGTTGGAGATCGTTCTCTCCCTGTATCTCCCCATGGTGGTGGCTGGGGAGAGCTCTCTGGGGTCTGTTTTATGAGGGCACTGGCTCCGTTCCTCAGGGTGGAGTCCTCCGGAACTGACCACTTGAAGACCCCCTCCCCTGACACTGTCTCCCAACAGGGGTGGGACTTCAGCCTGGCCAGGGAGGTGAGGGGACTTCAGGAGAGGAGGCTGTGCCACCTCGAAGCTGTGGTGTGTCCGTGGCCACCACAGAAGGGATCTCTCTGCCCCCATAAGCTCCATGGCACGTGTTTCAGTGAAATGGAATGAGCCAGTGCTTGGCTCCGGAGCAGCAGGGTCAAGGAAACAAATCATCTCCCGAGGAAAAAGCTTTGCAGGTGATGAAGGGAGGCCATTAATAAAACACACACAGAGAATGGACGTTCGGGTACCTTAAAATTACACAGGCTGGGCTGGGCATGGTGGCTCATTCCTATAATCCCAGCACTTTGGGAGGCTGAGAAGGGAGGTTGTCTTGAGGCCAGGAGTTCAAGACCAGCCTGGGCAACATGGTGAAACCATGACCTTGAAAACAAGAATGAGCTGGACGTGGTGGCCCACACCTGTAGTCCCACCTATTCACGGAGGCAGCGGTGGGAGGATCCCTTGAACCTGGAGGGTGGAGTCGAGAGCACACCATGCGTAACGTGGTGAGACCCTGTCTCCAACCAAAACAGTACACAGGCAAAGCACATTTTGGAAGTAATTGTAAGTTCTGAAGCAGTGCAAAATTGTGACCCAAAGCTAACAGGGCACAGGGCAGGAAGGAGGAGGGACCACGGTCACACAGACCCAGGCGGGCACATCCTCACTGACCACCGTACACGGAGAATGCACCTGCCACACTCAGGAGGGGCCACCGAGTGATGTAAACTGCACCCTGCCTCAACCCAGATTTCCTACACATGAATTCAGATAAAGGAGCTTTGGGTGTTCTCAGGGCAACCAGCTGTGGGAGCTGGGCCCATGGATGACACGGAGAAACTGCAGCTTCTAGGTCCACGCGGCTGCACCCTCCCACAGCAGGAACGCCCTGTGAGCTGTGCAGGTGGAAGCGGTGTGGTTGTGAGCTGATCGGACCTGATTAAACGGCCAACCTTTGCATGCTTGGTACTCTGCCCTAAATGCCAAGCCGGCTTTATGATGGTTGTCATTGCTGCTGTGGCTGCTGTGAGCTCAGGGTGCTGGGTGCAGGCAGGTGGAGCTGTCCAGCGTCTGCACTTCCTACCCATCCTGGGTGCCTC